TGCCCGGTGATGGTGCCCGGATGGTGAGCGGCGAGTGCTCCGGTTTGTTGACCGATTAAGGTGCATGGTTACCGATTATGGCGCCCGGTTTTGTGACCGACGATGGCGCCTAGCTTGGCCGCGGTTTTATGACCGAAGATAACGTTTTTGATATTTTGTGTGTGTGCGTTTTAGTGATCTTGAAGATCAGAGGGGCGTGTGTCAGAAGTGGTATGATTATTGAAGTGCGTGAAATTATTCCACGCGGAAATAATTGTTTGGAGAATTTTGTGAAAACGAGAGACTTTTGGGCGCTACTGGTGTTCGGTTGTTTAAATTCTATTACAGTTGGCTGTTCAATTTTCCTTACACTGGATGTTGAAACCTTTTGGTGCAATGGGATGGCATGGGTGGCCATATTAGCAAAGTAATTTTGGCTCGCCATGTGGCGGCGCCACAGGCTCCCGTTGAAGCGTCGTCCCGAAGCTGTGTGGTCGGGGATGGGGGTGGGTAACTGGTGGGGGGGGGGGAGGGGGGAGCTTGGCCGACTCGGCAGCTGGGAGAAACAAGTGTTGCAGCTCCCGGTGACGCCACTGAAACAACAGCCTGACTGCAGCAGCTCGAAGAGCAAATAATCTGAGCCCCAGTGGGAATGACCGTAACATGTGGTACCTTCCTAATGAACGATACGGGCCAGTCCCGCTGCAAGGCCTGGAAATTCCCAGCGTGCCACCGACTTTTGAAATTAATGACAAACTGAATGTTCTGATTGGTCTGAGTAGGATGCCGCTGCATAAGTTTTACCTTTTACGCACAATAGCAGATGACTGGGGTACTAAAAATCGAAATATGATGGTTTATGGGACTCAATCCTCGTGACATCACTGCAAGCTTCAACGGTGGTTTATGTAGAGTGGTACTGTCCGCATTGCTAAACAAACGTCCTTTAAAGAATCGCCGGGTTGATGTGTGCCACCATTGACAAGATGATCGGGGGACGTGAAGAATGTTTATTATTTATTCATTGCTCACCGCTAGGACAATATCGACAATTGGTGGGAAGTACTGGAGCAATGCCTTCAAGTTTATTATGCCAGGGCGGAGGGTCACTGTTCGCGCATCTATGACCGTGGTTAGCGCTGTATTTAGTATTACTGCAATACTGCCTGCGCCGCATACCTTTCGGATCCAACTCAACACCTGAACCCAGGTTTACCTTTTTTTCAAGTAACCTTTGACATTTGCAACATGTGAAGCGAAAATAATATCGTTTATTTATGTTCTCTGTGCCGAATTGTATGCCAAGATAATGAATACCTAGCTAAGCTACAATGGTTACTTAGCTGTTGTCTTTCCATACTATCGGCCAAGCATGTCGGCTGCTGAGCTCAGAAACGTGACTGGGCCAGTAGTTACCATCCGGCAGCCGACCCAGCTGCTGCTTAGCCTGTGCTTCTTAGTTTCCTTCGTTAACTTCAATAACAATTAACAATCATTCCAAGTTATCGACGATCGGCGGACGAATCATCAATAAATTATAACCGCGCTGTAACCTAGCGGACCATGCCACACATACCACTACCAGACCCGCAGCCCAGTCACATAGCATGCAAAGCATACAATTTGCTCTCGTTCTTTGCTGGTGGACCGAATACGCGCTGCAAGTACGCTTTATTTTCGGTAGACGGCGTCGGTGCGTTTTCTGTATCGAGCGGCGGACGGCGGCCTTTTTCGGGTCAGCATCCGATCCAGTGAACAACCTGTGGACGTCCTGTGATCGTGCTGTGACGGAACGTTGACGGTGCTGTGATCATCCTGTGACCGTCCTCAGTCCTGTGATCGGGATTTGATCACGCTGTGACCGGGCTGTGGCCGCGCTGTGACCATCCTAAGGCCGTCCCGTGACCGGGTGTGATCTCGCCGGGCGTGGGTGGATGATGATTGTGGGTGGCGGCGCCGGCGAAAGTGCGACGCTGGCCATTGAAGCGCTCGACGGGGCGCCCTGGGCCAGTGGCCCGGAGAGACGGTGTCTGCATAGACGGATTTCGTGGGTCGTCACTTGTGGAGCAACGGGCGGTGCTTGGATGATAGGCGTCTTCACTGAAACGAAGATTTCACCGGGCTGATCTCAGGCGTCGGTTTTTTTTACGCATCTCAAAGAGTCTACTATGATGCGTCGAAAGTTCATTATAAATTCGACATGTGAAATTGGAACATGGTATTCAGTGATATCTTTGATATCTTTTCAGTGGTAGGTATCTTTTTCTTTGTCGACCCTTCTAGCCACTTTTCGTCTGTCTTTGCTGCTGCCCTAAAGAAAATATGAATTCTTCCCATTTGCGTTTGTCATTCAGGAATATCCGCATTAGGCACCTACTTGCTATTTTTTTATTTATCAGATATTTATATTTACCAACGCTGCTCCTGGTAAGTCAGCTCAATCGAGTCCGGGTATTGGCCCCAGTGTGTGAGGCCACGGCCGTTAGTACCGGCCAGTGACCGCCGATCTCTATCCGCCTGTCATTAGCCACGCTGCGTCGCCCAAAGGTCAGCGAGGTCAGATGGAAAGTTCGCGAGGTTCGAGGGGTATGCTCGCTCGTCAGCCCCGCTCCTGTCACATGGCACAGAGTGACTGTCCGAACACAGGTGTCTGGTTACAGAGGCTGCAATGTGTCTCTTTCATCGGCATTCTCGGTATGTACAGAAGAATGTGTGCTATTCCTGTTCACAATTAAAATGACATGTGCTTTTTGCTACCGAATTTGGCCGTGTGAACTGTGAATCTCCTTTGTTTGCTACTTTTGGATATGCTTCATCCACAAATAAGCATAGCTGCAATAAGGAAGTGTTTCGTTTCTTCGCCGGGCGATATTTACTCGTGTAACGACCTGTGGGAACGTACCCGCTGACACGGAATCGCATACTTGTTTACCTGCTTCTGCCTTTTTTCGTTTTGCTCAGACGGCCAAAGTCGTGTTGTGTCAGCTATCGTAGTAGACGGTCTCGATATCATCACTCACGGCTACGGTATCGGTTTCCATCGTACACAAGTGACAATCGGGTTGTTTCTGACAATCGCTCAATCTGGCGATGTAGTATGAGGTTCTGTGAAGAAGCTCATCTCAGTCGCTTCAGATGGAGGGATTGGACGATGAACACTGCTGGACAAGTCGCTGGACGTGGGAAAGGGCGTGCATTACATGCCTTGGATTGGTTTCTTTGATCCTTCAAACAAAATTAATGGTGATGTCAAAGGTGCCTACAGTACCCACTACCCAATTGATTGCTTATTACCTAATTGGTTGGATAATATTTGATAACATTGTCAATCATTTAATGCTCTGCATGCACAATTTATATTATTTCCAAATGTCTGGGGATTGGGACTACTGACTTTGTAGATAATACCTCAACATCGTGGCCCCCTTTCATTCCCAGAAGGAACTTATACAGATGCTGATGACCCTGATTGTCGGAAATGGTAATTAGGTGCATAAGCACCGTTTGTTCACATATAGCGGGATGAAATTTTTTGATCGTGAGAACTGTTGACAAAGGTGCCGTGAACTTGTTTCTATTCGCTTTGTTGTTGCGCTAGACATTGTTCACTAAATCACTTTCGTTGAATGATGAAGTTTTTAGCAAAAGCTAACATTTGGTGCACCTTATATTGAAGCGGAGGTTTTTATAGCCATTTCTGTATTCATTCCTGAGACATTGAGGGAACAGAACTGCTAGTATTTTTTTTGTATTTCTTTAGATGCTGATCAAAGCAATGCATTTTTTGGTAGGTACAGACTACAGTTGATGATATTGTATTCCATGTGCGATAAGGTGATCCGCATTTCTTTTCACTCGCCAACAACCGGCTTTGCTCAGATTTATCACAGACCTACTAAGTGTGACATTTCATTGTTTGCCTTCGCTCGGCACATTTCCTCATGATGAAGCGATGTTTGTGGGGCGACACTGCAGTGCGCACATCAGGGGCGCAGGTGGCTCACAAACGCACATCGATCACTGTGCGGCCGGTGGGCGACCCACTCCATCTTTCTCCAGTCTCGGCTGACAGTTGCTGTATCAACTGAAGCAGCGAGCGCACTGCGCCTCGGCTCTGCGTCTCGGCTCTGTCCTCTTACACAGTGGCCCTCTGTGCCGCCCCGGCCACACGGGACCCGGCGATCTGCGTCAGCTCTGTCCCTCCTGCGGCGACCGTGCAACGGTGTGCAGGTGCACGCCCCCTCCCTCCACCCACACCCTCACTTCGCCCCGACCCAATTCGCTTCCTCGGACATCCCGCATAGCGGACTGCATAGCGCACCTATCGCGCCCGTCATCACACACCACGTGACCCGACCAGTACGGCACGGTCAGAGTCACGTGATCGGCGCACGCCGCACTTACAATGCGACCACCTCTCGACGTGATCACGATCGCAGAGATAGCCGCTGCGCGCGGTGGTCGGTCGCACGCGCCGACCGTCGGTCACTGCTCCCTGCACCTCCTTCGCCCCCTCCCCCGTCCCCGTCGTCTCCCCACGACCCGTCGTCGTCGGCTGGACGGCAGACAGTCCGGCCTTGTGCGTACTACGGTGGCAGTGAGCGGGGGGCTGGTTGGTCGGTGCTGGTGTGTGTGTTCTGGTTAGTATCTGTGTGATATCCATCTGTTTCCGGTAGTCAGGGCTAAACAAGATCGACTTGTATGTCTCGCGCAGTTCGCAGTCTGAGCGGTGAGTCACAAGGGCTTCCGAGCTATCTATCTTTTACAACCAATCTGCGCAACACGCACTGCTGTAAGCAAAACACTTTATACTCTCCCTAATCTCTTGTCACCCGCAGAACTTCGATCCCGCTATCCTGACTAACCCGACTCTCTCGGCTGGAGGGGTCTCACCGCCGCGCCCGCCGCGCCCGCTCCGCCCCATCCTCGCTGCACCGCGCGCGCCGCCACGCCGCACCGCTCCGCCGTCAGTTGTGGGCGCGCCGCCGTCCTGACCGGACCCACGTCTCCCGTGTCTGCAGAGGCGGTAGCAGCAGCGGCGGCCGACCTGACGTCAGGACCAGCAGCAGGAGCAGTGGCGTCGCCATGGCGAGTCGCATCGAGAGCGCTCCGGCGGCCGAGCGCTACTTCTGCACTCTGAGTCCGCTCTGTAAACGGATCATCTCCAACGTGCACACCATCCGCACCATCCATGCCGACTGGCAGGACCTCAGCTACGCCGACCAGTGCGACGTCATCGACGGACACATGGTCAACCAGGTGAGTTCAGAGATGGTCAGAGGGGACGGGGACATGCGGGAGCGGAGGGTGGCGGCGTATGAGCTTTCTCGAAGCTGAGGGCTAGTTAGACCTATCGAGGTGACTGTCTTTGAGCTTTGTGGCTTAATATTGTGAATGATTTCTAATTTACTGGCGTCTCTCATTGCCTACCACGTCGATGGATTCTTTGTTGAACTTAATTACGATGAACATCATCCTCAGCGTACCATTTTGAGCGCCCTTTGTCTTTTATATACGACAGATGGCCTTTCGGTTATCGCTGCCCGGCCTTTGTGCCGCGTCTGTGCGGGGTTTACTGCGGCCGCTCGGAGCGGGTTATCACAGCGCGGGCGTTGGCGGCGCTGATTCCGTTCCAGATATCGCCGTTATTAATGTTTGCTGCGGTTTATTGGAGCGACACTTGACAGCTAGTCAAGCGCACCAAAAAATCATTACGGAAATCCCTTTCACGCCGAAAGCGATTTTCTCTGTGCGGCTGCGACAAAGTTTACGACTGGGCGGTTATGGGATCGGACCGTTTCTGTAAATAACTCATCGTGTGTGAACCGCTCCGGTCGCTCAGTTCGAGGCGCCGACGGCGCGGCTTTCCCTACCTTTTGGGGCGCGCGCTGGTCGTAACGCCGATGTCATTCCATTGTTCGGCGGCCGTGTGGGAGCTGGTGTCTGTGCCGCATGTTTCCCGTGGGTTTTCGTAAAGAGCGCTCACTGCGGCGCGCTTCGACAATCGTTCCACCGGGGGCGATGCTTCCGGTCATCGGTTTACGTGCACTGTCCGGTGTGAGCTGCTCAATTCACACTGCTTATCCTGCGGGCACAGTGGTTGTGGACTGACGTCTTCCCTGCGGAACTCCCCTCTTCCGTTACCCCATGTTCGCGTTTCTAAGATCGGAAGCCATCTGAGTCAGCGCTTAGCTACTGGGGCCGCATTCCTGCCGGCTGGCTCACTCTGCCGCCGCATTACTCGACTCGGCTCCCCCTCACGCGCTTAGCACCCCACGCCTGCGCCGGCCGCATCGCTCTGTATTGATGGGCGCATTGTCGGTGGCTCGTGCGTGCCACCCCGTCCGCACTGCGTGCCGTACAAGTCGATACCACCACCGCCGCTGGTGCCGCTACCTTCTTTGGTAGGCCGATCGACCGTGGTGCGTTATTAAAGGCCTCCGCGCAGCAATCCTGTGAGGATCTGCGTAACTCGGTCGACCCATTTCGGGAAATCCGTCCAATCTGCCGACCGCTGCCTTGTATGCAGATGAATACGGCGGCGAAATTCGCTCGGCGGATCAGCGGACGACGGGGAAACGGTTCCCGTCCGATCCGGATTCGGCACAGTTCGCCAAACAAGCGGATAGTCCGAGTTGTCCGCCCGGCGGAACGCGCAGTAAATTTACCTGTCAGCGCGGCGGTACCGTTTTCCGCATGTGGAGCGCGATGTGTGATCGGCTGGCTGCAATTAGCCGCACAATGGTTACACGTCGGGTTGGAGTGATTGAGTGGGCTGCCGTCGATCAGATAGGCCTGCTCTGGTCAGTTTCAGAGGCGTACTCGAGTGAAGACAGGTCTGGGCTCGGCCTAGATATGCGATATACATACAATGACACTCAGCTCCTGACTGGGACTGCTGTCTTGTTCAGCCTGCTCCTGGTGATGAGGTGAACATGACTGGGGTGTGCACTGTGCAGCCGTGAATGGTGGCGGGCACTGGGCTTGGCAGTGGGCACTGGGTTGAAACTTGAATAGAGCGTGTTTTGTTTGTGTTGAGCCGGTGACGATGCAGTAGTTCGGCTATCGGGCATTACTGAGAATGCTTGGAGGAGGGCGGGGGGCTACCATGCCAATTGCCATTCTGTATCACGAAAGGTCGCTCAGGATTACGGTATAGTTATTTGTCTGGGTGTTTGAATGCAGAGCAGCCTAACCGAATATTCCATAGCTCCCAGTGCATACGTGCTGTGATTGCCGAATAGCTGATGTCGTGCCATACGGCTTTATATGCAGGGCAATGTCGTGTTTGTCCTAATACACCCGGTCTGTATGCAGGGCGGCGACCCGTCCCGAATGACACGTCACCTCCATTATCTGGGCCCGGTCTCTGGCGGCCCAGCGAGCACTGGATGTGCCGCTCGGTTTATTTATGAAGCGTTCCGGACGCGCGTCGTGCCGCCGCTCCTTATGAATCTCATGCCCGTATGCCTGGCCGTCGCTGTGTGCTGGTCTGCAGTACTGGAACACACGTGCCGGCCGCCGCTGACTGACCTTGGCTGGCGCCGCCGGCCGAGGGACGGCACGGGCAGGGCTGCGGCTGTCGTCCTCAGGAGAGCCACGGGGTCAGTACCTCCAGGGTTGGAACGGGACCAATGGCACCAGCCCAGTGACTCGGACGGGATCCCGGACCGCTGACGACTCTGTTTAGTTGGGTTAGCCGAGCTATTCGGGACTGTTGAGGAAATGTAGCAGTCGCAGCGCTTGCTCGCTGTTCCTGGCGAGCAAATCCCGTTGGTGTGGATCGGTTTCGCACAGTGCTCGAGTAAGGAAGGATGAACTGGAGCGCAGTACAACAGGAGGAAAGTGATTTAATACTTTTGGAGCCATGAGCCGTCTGTGTGAACCACTCTCCCGTCTCCACATTATGACACCGCGGCCAATTTCATGGAAAAGGAATATTTCCGCGTCGTCAGTTGTGACGAGTTTATAAAGTCTATAAATCGGCTGAGCCATCACATTAGCCACCCCACTCTTTGAAGTATTGCATTTTTGGCTGAGACGACGTGCAAGTTTGTGGCCAAATTGGTCGATTAGCAGTCGGACGGCATGCTTGTGGTGTGCTGTGAAATTTAAACACCGCCGAGTGTGACGACCAGTGGTGGGTTGCATACAAAGCGCGCCTCCTAAGGCGGAACAACACAAAGACTGGGACTCTGGCTCGTCAGTGGCAGCGGATTCCTTTGTGTTTCGTATGGCTGCTTGGTGACCTTCCATATATTTTCATGTTTATCTCGCGCTTATGCTCTCGCGGTATCCCTGCCACATACGCTTTAGCCGCTCGCGTCCGCTATTCAGTGTGCTATTCTCGGTGGCTTACAGTTACAGCCTTGCTTCTCCTAGTTCACGACCACGATATCTCGACCTCGCGACCAGCCTCCTCACGACCTTCTGACCGACCTCCTCACGAACTCCGAGCCACGACCTTTCGCCGCCCAGCCTGCCCCTGCGCCCACCCCGATATGAATGACCTCATGGCGGCCGGTGGCTGACTTGCGTTCTGTTCTGTCTGCGGCTGACGGGCGGATCTGTCGGTGACTGACGTGCGGTTCTGTCGGTGCTCGCTCACCGGCCGGGTCGTGCCGGGTTGGTGCAGGCCGGCTGCAGACCATGACCGGCGCGGTACCGGTGCGTCCGGTCTGTACTGCACCTGCACTGTGCCGGTCTGTGGGCGGCGGCCGCGGCCCGAGCGCCGCCGCCCGTCTGTTTATAGCAGGCTGCAGCGGGCTGAGAGAAGGCAGCGCCCCTGCCTCTGGCCTCCGGGGAGGGGGTAACACTGCAGGCCGACCGACATGGGCGCGACTAGCCGACGCCACTTAACACAAACATTGCGGCGGCGGCGGCGGGATGAGAGTGTGTCGCAGACTGCCGCTGGTCTGGCGACACCCCTTCCGTCCCCGGCCGGCGCCGGCAGACCGATACCAGATAATAACACCGCTGCAATAGAATGATACCAGAGGCGGACAGATGTGGCGGCAGATGTACGCGATACTCTGATCTAGCTGTGCCCAGGCTGGACCGGCCAGTGGACTGGCCATGAGTCATCCAGCCACCCGACCCCGGCCGTGCGTCAAGCCTGGCCGTGGCGTCAGCCAGCCGCGGGTCATTGTGATGCACGGTCGCGCGCGGAGTCGCAGCCGGCTGTCGGCCCCATATTCGGTACGTGTACCCACATGTCGTGAAAGGGCGAGCTCCGATGCCGCCGCTGCCGCCGCCTTCACCACTGTCATCGCGAACTCGGGACAGCGGCGACGGAGGTGGTAGTGTAGGGGTTTGCAGAGGTAACGCCGGTGACTGCGCTTCTTCCTTGTTCGCCAGCGCTGACTGGCTGCCGGAAGCGCTGTGACGGCCAGTCGTCTCACCGTGTCCTTGCCAGTCTCACAATGAGAGAGCGGCCTGCGTGGGCCTGTTGTGTGTTAGGGGGAGCGTAGTGGTGGTACGCCGGTGAGCTCAACAGGCAGCGCGACCCCGCCGTCAAGTCTTCCGGGGTCTGGCAGTCGCGGTTTTTGTTACAACGTTCTCTGTCTGGTGGTGTAGGTCACAGCTCAGAGATCCCGACCCCGACATCGACCGTAACCCAACATCAGCACTGCACTCATGTCGACCCGGCCACGACCTCGACTCTGACTCAACATCAATACTGCACTCGTTTCAGCCCCGACCACGACCCGACCTCGATACTATATCAGTCATTCTTGACACATATCTTTATATCTCTACCCCGAACCCCACTTGACACCGATCCCAATCTTGACATTGTCCTTACGCCGATGCGAATCGAAGCACCTCACTGACGCAAATATGGACGGTTGTCTAATCGGAGCAGCTCCCATTTGAGGACTCCCGTCTTTCCTACTGTCGTCAATGCGTCATTCTGAGCCTTTTCACCCCCCCCCCCCCCCTTGAGGTGCTGTCGTCAGCCCGGCCCGTGCACGCGTAGGTCGTTGCCTCGGCCGCGGCCGCAGCAGGGTCGTGCCGCGGCACCAATGTGCCGGATAGCCTAGTCCGTCGGCGTCCCGTCGCCGACGACTTAGCGGCGGGGCCGTCGGAGCGGTCGATGGTCGGCGCTCGCGGCTCCCCGTCCGTCTCGTGGGGAGCCTAGACGTCCTGCCTCCCCTCCGTGCCGACCGGCCGGGAATCGAATTTGTGCGCCACGTGGTGTTATTTCTTTGTGTGCGCCGCCGGCTTGCCGATGAGCCCCGTCGGCTGGGGTCGCCCCGCAGACGTCCGTAATAGGCGACTGGTGGCTTGGTCGCGAGTCTGCCAATTTTAGCGCGGAGGGTCGCAAGGGTTCGGGTCAGAAATAGCCGGAAGGAGGCTGGTGGTGACGTGAGAGTGATGGCAAATACCGGGTTTGGCAGACTTTCGCTTGTTTTCTCTCGCCTTAGGCGTTGCAAGCTCGGAGCTAAGCTTGTCTATAGCTTCCGGAGAGATGTTTTATAGGCTACCGTAAACCTTTGATGGGCTCGGTGGTCCAAACAAGACCGCAACCCAGTAGCTCAGTTTCGCCTAACCTGTCTGATGTGGCACCTTGGCTTCCGCGGTCTAGACGATCGAATCGAGCGGAAGTGACAAATCGCATCTTAATCGTGTGACTCACCAATGATAACCTCTGTTTGAGGTTTCCGGGAAGTCTTCTTCACATCCACCCACTGCCCGGAGTGCTTTCCTTCCGTTCCCTTTTCCGTCCGTGTCGTGACCCCGCCTCCGTTCCCACCCCGGTGCGGCGTACCGGCCCGGAACTTCCGGCAGTTTGGTCAATGTCTGTAGCCGGGATGTGTGTCGCCCCGTGCCATGTCGCACCGCACCTTCCCGCTCCGTCCCTACTCCTTTTTCTGGTCGCTCCCCGTCCTCCCCCATCGCGTTCCGTCTACCTCTGTTCCCCGTCCCTTTTTGTCATGTCCAGTCTTATCGCTATCTTCATCTCTCCCATCTCATCCCATCCCATCCCGTCCCATCCTATCCTATCCAAGCTCTTCTATCCCGTGCCCGTCCCATCCCGACCGTCCTCCGTCCCGTCCTATCCCGTGCCCCACCCCACCCCGTCCCGTCCTGTCGGCCGCTCGTTCTCATCCCGTCCGTCGACTCCGTCTGCATCGTTAGTGGCCATTATGAGCGGTGCAGCGACCGAGGCACGCCTGCACGGCCTCCCCGTGGCCGGTGACGTGCACCGTTTGTCACTGCCAGACACGTGGCGCCTGCGGACGCCGCCCCGTGCGCTGCCCTTGCCGCCGGCGGCCACCTGACTCACGTGTGCAACGCCGAACGCGTCGGACGTGATATACGTGATGTGCGTGGTGGGAGTTCCACACGTGGTGGGGAATGTGGGGAGGGAGAGAGGGATGCTCGTCAGGTGTTCGTGAGATGGGATTGGTGGATGCGGATTTTGTTGGTTTCTAAAGCTCTGGCTAACGGCTATTCAGCAGACGCGTCACGGATTCATGCATAGGATCCGACTTTGTCATTGCGAGATTCGGCCGAATTTAGACGTTGCCACATTTGAGACGGATTCCTCTATGCTCTGTCTGTAAGAGATGAGCCGGTGCGGCCGCTGACGGGGCTGATTTCTCAGCTGACGTTGCTGATCTCTGAGCTCAAACTGACTGTGTGCTGACTGCTGAGCGCCGCCCCCACACCCTCCCCCGTCTCCGCCCGGCATCGGTGTCGCGTTCTGTCGACTTTCACCGTCTTGTGTTGTGACATCAGCGCAGCGTTGCTCGGCGTGTGTAAGATGTTCTTTGTCGGACAGTCTGAGACGCCATGTATGCGGATCAGTCCAGCTGTTAGTCTGCGCTTCCCAGGGTGTGTGACTACACGCTAGTGTGAATTTCTCAATCAGACGGATCGTTTGTAATGTGTTGGGTCCCACGAGGCTGCCGGTCAGTGATCACTGTCTATATAGGTATGTGAGTGCGTGTTTTTATTCCGCCATGTGTCTGTGCCAGCGTTCTGTACGCAACACGTTTGTTACTGTCCGTTTGGGATGGCTCATGAGCATGACTAACCGCTGTACGTTTATGCAAGAGTCCGATACTTTGCAGCGTCTAACCATATTTTCACATGTGTGATTGCAGGAGACGGCGGAGCACTGGCGGCGACTGTCTCGCCAGCCGGGAGACGGAGCGCCCAGCGTGGCCACTATCCCTGCCGGGCCGAAAATGGTCGAGGATGAGGATCCCGAGACGGGACAGGTGAGTGATGGCGCACCACGAATGGATGGGGAATGACAACATATGTAAAGGTGAGAGTTGACATTGCGGGGGAGATTTCAGGATAAAACGAGTGATGGAGTGGCGCAGGTGGTATAACCCTAAATAGATATGGAGAGGCACGGGACAATAGCGATAGGATCAACGTTCGGGGCTCAACGTTGCATTAAAAATAAATATCTTTGGCGGCTGTTTCGCTCAAATATTACTCTGAGATAAGACGCCGGTAAAACCCGTTTTACCACAGTTTTTTACCATAGGGTTCGTGGCGATACTGATGCGTTGTGACAGTGTGACCTGTAGTCCCCGTTACTGTGACTGTCTGGGACAGTCCCCTGTAACTCTGACTGTGACTCTTCCTGACTGTCCCCTGTGACTGAATGTGTGACCGTTTCCTCCCTCAGGTTGTCCGGTGGCGGGACGAGCACGCGGCTCCGTTCTCATGGCGCACGCCCAGCCAGGAGCGACTGGCGGCCGATAGCCTGTCCGCCGCCGAGCCGGCTGACTCCCCGGTCCGCCAGCAGCCCTTCATGATGCGCGACAGCATTCGACAGAGGCTCTCCAGGTACGGACTGGCTGGCCTCAGTCACTCGTCAAGCTACTCGTATCAGTAGCGATGGCGTCTCTGTCCTCACGACGTGTTTATCGGGATCGATGTTTGGCATGGAGCTAAATCGACCGCCGCTGGTGATGTGCTCGTCTATGGGCCGTGGCTATCCCCCACTCCTGCCTGAGCTGTCCCTCGATCGTGGCTAGCCCCACTCACTCTGAGCGCTCTTAGCGCTGAGCACCCATGTGTCTACAATCTACATGTGTCTACTGTCTACTGTAGTCAGAACACATATGTCTACGTTAGTCTCTCCTCTGCAGATGTGTCTCCCCTCCCTCTGGGTGGCACAGGCAGGGTGTATCCCTCACTACCCCGTCCGTCCCGGTCCCCGCTGCTCCACGATACCCGACCCGGCCTTCCCTCGCCGCGGAGGGAGAGGGGTGTTTGCAGCGACGCCATGATGTCAGCACCGCCACGGTTCGGTGACGGTGATCCCCGGGTGCCCACGTCAGCCGGCCGCGGAGGGTGACCCGGGGTGTCATGTATCGCGGTCAGACTGGTGGGTGTTAGTCGGGTGAACGGAGTGGAAGTCCACTGGGGCTCCACTGGGACTTCAGTGGGATTTCAGTGGACTTTGGTCAGTGGATGGTGGGTGTTTTATACCCGGGGTCCGCAGGGGATTTCGATCAGTGGCAAGTCGGGTGGTGTATCTGTATACCCAAGTGACCGGTCAGAAACGGGCCAGTGGCGGGTGCCAAATGCCCAGGGGACTTCGGTCAGTAACTTTGAATCACATGGCCAAAAGTCACCGGCCAGCGGCTAGTCGAGTGTTATATGCCCTTGGGACTCGTTTGGGACTGGGGACATCAGCTGTCGGTCGTATCATGCACTAAAAATGCATCGGACCGTGAAATGTTTGGATTATCTTTGAAATTGAACTTTATGAAAGTGAAAAGCAACGAACGATATTTTCCAGATCCAGGTCTCTTCGCAACACACATTGAACTGGACGTCAGAAAACGCGGTGGGGGAAGGGGAGGGTACAGTTTATCCATCTGAGGTCATTTCTAGCTCTGGAGGTCACGCTGACTGCTTATGACATCAGTGTATGGTAAACTTCATCCTTATGTCCGCGCATTAGATATAAAACTACCCACCATGACCGTTCATAAACGGTTTCCTGTGCCGTCCAGTAACGGCCCGGGCGGCCTCGGCTGTCCACGCTCTCGGGAAGTTTATGAATCATGTAAGTGTCGCGCTTATCTCAGTGTGTGACAGGCCAGTGGCCTAGAGCTGTCTCAAGACGAGTCTATCCAAACACACGGCTGGTGAGCGGACGGGGGCTAATGAGCGGCTCAGTGCCGGGTGCCGCGCTGTGCCCCGTTCGGGGCCAGTGACCGGCTCGGTCAACGGTCCTGCAGGATGCACCTGTGGGCGCTACACGTGCACCGCCCGGTATACACTGACCTAATGCTCTCCCGCTCCGGTGAAGCCATCAATTGTCGACTGAGGTGTTTATTGGTCAGGTGATATATGAACGAGCGATCGGGCGGTTTTTGTATTCCTCTGCGCACGTGTCTGGGTGCTGGGACGTGTGTCGATGATAGGATCAGAGCGGGTATCTCTCAGACAGTTACCGCCGCTGGGCTGTCAATAGTATACCCAAGAACCGTTCTTTGTGAGTCAGCGTCTGCACCAAGGCCGTATATGTAGGTAGGTCCGGGCCGCCTCTGATCAGACATTCGGCACTCGGTGCCCTGGTCACGCAGACGGAGACATTAATGTGTGTGGTGATCCCGGGGAGGAGAGGCGCCTGAGCTCGCAGAAGCGCCTCTGCTGAGCGCGAATCACATTAGAGGTGCAGGGCTTGTTCGGGCGAGACTTTTATGACCTACATATCGAGTAAAACCCGCTGTCTGCTAGGTGTTCAATGAAATCACTGCTTTCAAGCTGTCTTTCGGCTACGTTGATGACCTGTATATCATTACTTTTATGTTTTGAACTACATGCTATTGATGGCTCTTACATTATTCTTCATACTCCTCCGCTCATTTTAGAAGGTGCAATAACGCACTAAATGTAAGCCCTAGCCCCAAGTTTCATAGTCCCATAGCATACCTACAATTTTTTTGCGGAGTCTTCTAAATTCCTGTTGCTAGCTTTCCTAAAGCCAAGCGCCCCTGTTGGGACGCTTTTGACTGGCTTCTGCAGTATTTGCCGTTAAATGTCATACTAATGACTCAGTTGGAATGCGACCCGGGGTGTGTTTGTGTTTGTTTGTACTGTAAGCCGTGTGTTTATCCAAACCTCTCCAGTGCTGGGCATAGACCGTCTAGAGTTGCCGCAAATGTGGTACATGTGGTCCCCAACGTATTGCCTCTTCCGGCAAGAGCGACATGTTTGTTGATTCAAAAATAAGCAACGATCTTTTTCAGAGTGTACTTTCATGTAGTGAGGATAGCTGATGTGACGGTTCTGTGCAATTGTCGACATATTGCCTCAAGGGCACCGACGAAATTTCTCCTAGTTTCCATGCCGACTCGTGTGTGGTATTTCGATAGTGTGTATCCAGTAACGGGTGTTTTTGGAGACTGATCTCACCGCCATCAATGCCGCCCGACCCTATGTTTACCCTCGCCTTTCTTGCTTTCTGTCGACAGGGTGGAGCACATGTATGAGAGCTACTCGCCGAAGCGCACGGTCGGCGACGGTTTCGACTCTCCCAGTGTGGTGCTCGGCGGTTCCAGTGGCGGCGAGTCGGACGCGCCGGGCGGCCGCTCGCTCAAACAGCAGGTGATGTCGCGACTGGCGCACGGCCGGCGGGTGCTGCTCTCCATCACCAAACTGGGAAAACAGCCGGCCGAGCCGCGGCCGCTGCGGCGGCTCGAGATCTCCTCTCCCTGCTCGGCCGTGGAGCCGGTGCGCGCCCGCTCCGAGCTGTCCTCCCCTCAGCCGAGCCGCGGCGCCGCCAGCCCCGTCGGCTCGGTCGGCAGCGGCGTCTCGCGGTCCGCCAGCTTCCGCAGGCCGACCAAGCCGTGCACGCCGCCGCCGCCGCCGCCCGTCCAGGCGGCCGTGGTGCCCATCCGCACGAGCGCCGCGCACGCGCCATCGGTGCGCAGCTCCAGCCAGTACGCGGCGCCGGCCGCGCCGCCGTCCCCGCCGCCGCCCACGGCCGGGGCGCGCGCGCAGCCGACGCCGCCGCAGCTGAAGCGTGTGGCACCGCCGGTAGTACCGCCGCGCCGCGACTCGCTGACGCCCGAGCGAGAGCCGCCCGGCGCGCGGCCGCCCGGGGACGGCAGCGAACTGGCCCCGCAGGTGGATGAGACCAGGGCGTCACCACCACGGCTCTTCACACAGCAAAAGTACGAGCCGGAGCCGGAGTCTGACTCTGAACCAGAGCCGGAACCGGAATGGAAACTTCGCCAGCCTGAGCCGGAGCCGGAGTGGCAGCTCCGCCAGCCGGACCCGGAGCCAGAGTGGAAACACCGTCAGCCGGAGCCGGAGCCTGAACCGCAGGAGGCCCCGGAACCGGAGCCGTTCACCAGCGTGCTTCAGGAGCCTACCAAGGTGAGATTATTGAGAATTTACTTAACCCTCGCCGGCCGAGGGGGGGGGGGGGGGCGGGTGCCGCCCCCCCCCCATAGGGGTTTTTCGCGATAGCTCCGAACACGCTGGCGATAGAGAGCTGAAACTTGGCATACCTGACCTTTGATCCAAGCCGGATCTTTTGACACCAACCGCATTTTTGGGTCAGGTCAGGTCACTGACCTATGACGTCATAAGTGAACCTCTGCACGGTCTTCAGATGTCGCAACTTCGCAACGCCCTCACTGCCAGAGGAGATGTCACAGGGAAATGAAACTTGCAGGATCTAGTATCCATTATGAGTCCCACAACTTGTATATCTCGGATTTTTCCTAAAGGTCATATGAGGTCAGGTCATTTTCGTGACCTCACCATTATAAGTCAATGGGGAAAAATTCAAACTGCTATTCTGGCGCCGGGAACGATCTCCAACTATCTCAAGCACACAGAATCGTGATTTGATGCACTCCTTGCAAGGTTAGATGCGTCACTTTTGCAATGTTGACCTTGCGTGACGTCATTTATGACGTCATCAAGGTCAAATTAGTTTTTCGTCAATAACTCTTGATCAAATTGAGCTAGCGAGTCGGGAAAGGCACCAATGGACTCAGGAAGACCTGCCGAATCGAATGATATGCGACATGACCTCTTTCGACCAACTTCGTGACCTGGGGGTGCTGACCTGACCTTGACCTGAGGTCAACACCCCAAGTTGACCTGACCCGGACAAAAAGTATATCATTCGACGCGCCTGAGCGAGGCGAACACGATGCTGCCAAAATCGGCGCTCTGCGGCCGTATTTTGCGAAGTTATTCACCAAAAACTGAACCGTACCCTGAGGCACTTGACCTGACCTCAGAGGTCACCGGATGACCTAGGAACTTAAAATCGGGTACCAATCTCTGCGTCTCGTAACGGCGCACACGCTCGTTTTTTCCGCGACGCGCTAGCTCCACCAGGGGCGAAACGGCGAGGGGGGGGGGGTCGTACCCGCCCCCCCCCCCCTCGGCCGGCGCGTATGTAGAAAACCAATAGGTCCGGCGAGGGTTAAGTTACTTTCTAGGATAATGATCATGGGGTTTGTTTGTACTGACTTCAGCTATGTTTCCTTGCATTAGTGGCGTTCTACTATTGGTAAGATCTCTTGATGTCTGAGGTCGGCGATGTTTTATGACCTTGAGGGCTGGGGCATTGCTTAATGCAGTTTTCTAGTGTATTCTGCAAACAAATAAGGTGCCGTCAAACCATATCCTCGATTGTTATCACGGGGAGGCCATATTCGGCAAACCTGGGGCTCAACTACCGAGTTATCACCCACGCAGAGGCGAAGAAGGCTATGTAATATCCGCATACCTGTTTGGCTGAATGTCCTTTTTACTGCCATAATCGGATCGAGACTCTGGGAAATAATGGGGCATTAGAGGCTCACAAAAGTTCTACTGCCGAGCAGTCGCTACTCTAAATACTCCCATTGTTTGAAGTAAGCTTGGGTTACACTGCGCCAAATCTGCGCCCTCAGTACTCGAACTCGAAGGCGGGGTAGGCGTGGTAGCGGCCGTTGCAGGCGATGTCAGCCCAGTCGTAGCCGGCGGCGGCGAAGTTGGCCCAGGTGGCGCAGTTGTCGGTCTCGTTGCGTCCGTTGGGCTCCTGCAGCAGGCCGCGCCGCGCCCAGGCCGTGTAGTTGAGGGGCTCGCCGCTCTGCCAGCGCCAGCTATCGATACCCCGTCCGCGCAGCCCGAGCCAGACCAGCTGGGCGGCCGGCGGGAGCCAGTCCCGCACCCGGCGCCCCTCGGCTGCGCTGGTGATGGTCAGCAGGTGGACGAAGCGGCGCGGCTGCAGGGCGGCACCCACCCGGCGACCCAGGTACGCGGCGCGCCTCCACGACATGGTGACCCGGTCGGCTCGTGGCAGCAGGTAGCAGTGACGCCGGCCGGCCGGGTCCCGCCACCGCCGCCACCCGCGCGGGCACATGGCACAGCGCTGCGTGGCTGGGTCGTACTGGAGACCTCCGGCGCAGTGGCAGACGCCGCGCGGACCGCAGCGCGCGCCGCGAGTGCCGGCGCAGTCCCACGGCCGCCGGCAGATGCAGCCCACCTGACCGTAGCGGCAGAGCTCACAGAGGTGGGGCTGCGAGCGTCGGCAGTCGGCCGTGGCCCGCCAGCGACCGCGGCGCGACAGCGTCACACACTGCTGGCCTCTGCCGGAGGGTGGCCGCCACGCGCGGGGCTGGTAGTCGGTCCGTCGCCGCGAGTTCACCCAGCGGAAGTCTCGCCAGCCGGTCAGACGATAGAACGCGAGCCAGGCGGAAGACACACCGGCCGTCCGCACCAGGCGCGCAGCCAGTCGGTTCTCCAGCTCTTTGAGCGGTCGGAACGGCGTGGCGGCGTGGTGTAAACCTCGGCAGGCCATACGGGATGAAAACGCTGACCGGCGGATATGCCGGGAGACGCGCAGACATTTGCCAGGCAGCGGCCACCAACCGCGGGGACAGGGCGGCCGGCCGGCGGACAGTACCACCAGGGTCCCCAGTAGACCGAGCAGCAGCGGGCGGAGGGCGCCGGACATGGCGAGCGACTGAGGCGAGCGGCGGCGCGGCGGGGCAGAGAAAGACGTCCGGACGGTTCCCGTGATTGATGGAGTAATAGAACCTCATTGACGCGCCCGGGCGACTTCTCAAGGCCGTGGGGTGGAGGTCGGGCGAGCCTTGTTTTTGCTCAAGGGCAAGTTCAGGTTCTTTCGAAATAACGGGCTGTCGATATTATGAGTCAGTGCTTCTGCCCGCCACAGGGATGTCGAACAGCCGGCCTAGACATTGTTAAATGTTGCATAATCGTCTTACGACGCATTAGAAGTATATCGGTAGTCATTTACACACCCACTCGCCATCCATGATTGGCCGATGAATGATCGATGTTTATCTTTGCTCTCAGGTGGACATCAAGACCGGGTTCGACTTCCTAGACAACTGGTAACATCCTCACCAGAAGTCTACAAGAACTGGCGGTCCGGTCCGGCCCGCACATCTGACTGATTCGTGTGGAACAAGCACTGCCGCGCCCTCTGTGCCATAGAACCAGCGGTCGGGTGGGGAGCCAGCCGGCTGAATTCGGGTCTGGCTGGCTCTCACGGGTCGAGGTGTGTGAACGAATACTGCCCGTGTAGTGTCGCTACTGCGTGAGCAGCGCTTTCTAAGTCTCTCGGCTCAGACTGAGAAGGAACGAAGTGCGAGCTTTTTGTTTGGTGCTGACTGCGTTTTTCCTGATGCGTGTCGAGAGTGGTGTGTCATCTTGGTGTTTCATGTTTGCATATCGAGTCATTCGCTGTGTTTTTACACTGGGCGTTCTGTAGTGTAGGCATAATCTCGTAGTTGCTCGGTCTGCGAGGAGCAGCTAAGCGTTGAGTGTTGTAGTCGCGAGTTGGGGCGTCTCTCGGATGTGGCGCGGTAGGGTGCAGACCGACCAGACCGCCCAGTCAACTCTGGCAGCCGTGTGTGGAATCTCAGTGGGCAGACAGTCTGGTGCGCCGCCCGGTCTTCGTGTCGTGCCGTGTGTGCGTGTCGTGGGTGTGTCGATGCGTGATCACTTGCACGTCTCTGTACAGATCACAGCCTTTGGGCTGCTGTGGCCTTCTCTCTGACGCTGTAGAGCGCCTGGCTCATGTACTAACTCCGCTGCGGGAGAAAGTGGTGTGATCAGTCGGCTGGAGAGAGACTCGGACCAGAGAGCAGGCTGAAAGTGGCGAGTGAAGAGGGCATTCTGTCCGCTCTCCGCGCGGGCGGCGGAATAATCAACTGCGCCAACGGTCTAGTCATTGAGCTTGTGCGGGGATGACCGCGGCGCGAGGGGTCGGTCGGACGGTCCAGAAGGGGACCATGGCCGGCACCCTTCCTCCGGACCTAATCCGATGGAGGCTGGAGAGAGGCACCGCCACGGGACGGCGGGCGCCGGAGAGCCGATATTTTGGTTACTTTTGTACATTTGTCACAGACGGTTCACAAATATACGTTTGACAGGTTCGTCCCGTCTGTTCATTACAACACCGTCATTCAACGAATGGGGTTTCCCTAGGAAGGTACGCCACGAACTGAGCCCGAGTCAGCTTCATTTGGTATTGACATTTGCTCCCACAAGATGAAAACACGGGCTGAAAACCTGATCGAGGGAATATCTACCACCATACTAGCCGGTTAGCCTGAATGGATGTCATGTGAGAAACAGTCACAGGTGGGAGACAGGACGAGCGTGTCGCTTGTCTCATGACCGACTAGTGCCTAGCGGCCAGTCACTACTCATCTTCAGGCTACTCAGTCGTCATCGGGTCCAAGGCCCTATATAAGATCGGGTCACTGAAGACCCTTTATGATTATCAGCAGATCAAGAGCACTTATGACCACGCCCCCCTCCCACCGAAAAACTAAACGAAGCACGCTTCCCCGTAAAAATACGCCCGGACATTGCGTCCGATTGGCGATCCTCCTCAATTTTTTCCAGCGTCAGATGCTCAACCACTGTTAATTGTCAGGATTCTCCACGCCCTCTTTCTTCCCACCAAAGAAGACGTACCAGTGAAAAGGTGTGCTAGTTTTACCTGAGACACTGCTAACACAACTATCAGTTTCTAAGTCCAAGGTTATGAGTCACCCGTCTCTAGTAGGTACCCTGTCATCTCCGGTAAAAAAGTTGAACCTCCAAATTATGCATAGAAATCCACTAACATTAGATACACGACACATTATAATTGATCTAGTTTGTATTCGACCCTTTTCGTCGTTACCGGTACACCCTTTTGAAGGCATTATTTAAATGTCAACAGACAACAAATCAGAAAATACGATGCATACGCCCTCTACCATACACATGGATGCTGCATGGCCTACGAAACGATGTAAAATCGTGCATATTAATCAGCACACGTTCGGAGAGCCCATCGCTCCAAACAGGCATCAACATACATCGCACCGTCCATGCGCACCAAAACCTCAGTCCAGGTATATAAAACACTACCTCAATGAGCGGATGCTGCAACCGAGGGTTTTCAGTCCACCTGGTGGCATATCCCAATACTTATAGTTGTTGCTGCTGAGATGGGTACAGAAGGTGGCGCTGAGGCCAAATCGTGCATTCGGAGCTGGGAGCACGGTGCACAGATGCTTTCCGGGCGAGATACCGAGCATCGTCAATGCTTTATTTCATTCCGTTCAGTTGGTTCCACATTGTTCTGTAGCGTGTTGACATAAAACTCAGACGAGGCCCATGAATTGTACGCAAAATGTTGCATTGTACGGAAGTATAACAGATGTGGCAGTGCGTGCCGTAAACTGCACTGCGGTCATTTCCTTGCCGATAGAAAACAGTTTTTAGTGCCGATTCATCTTGTCAGCTGCTTGCTTGTGATTTTTGCTTTTTCTTTTTCCTTCTCTCTGATGTAGAAACGACGGTACTACCGTCTTCAGCGATTGATTCATCCACCGCATCTAGATCTGGCTTCTTTCGCTTCTTCTTTTTCTTTTCAGATTTCAAACAATCTACCGCAGCGCTGCCTAGGTCATCATTATCCAGGATAGCAGAGCTTGGATCCTCTCCTTCATCAGCCTTCCTCTTTTTCTTCTTTTTCATGGTCACGTCTTCCTCGGCGGGTTTCTGGCCCGTCAGTCTGGCCAGGATGGCGGCCTCCTGGGCCACGATCCTGGCCAGCTTTCCGTCCATCTTGTGGCCGTGCCGGGCGCCCTTGTGCGCCGTTCGGCCGCCGCACGCCGCCAACAGCTGTTCGTCACTGAGGCGCGACTCAGCCGGCGCCGCCTCCTCAGGACCCTCACCATCAGCCTCACCACCGCCAGTCACACTGCTACCCACCAGCGTGCCACCAGTCACAAAGTTGCTGTATGCCGATTTGACCACCTTTTTCTTCTTCTTTTTCTTGGTGTTGCTGGTGGCCAGCTGGCAGCCATCTGAGGCCTCATTAACAGTGACATTAGCAGCAGCTGTGTTGTAGGCCTCACTCCACCAGGTATGCGTGAACTCCTTGGCTGGGTCATGACCAATGCCAGTTGTGTCAAACTTCAGCTTTGGCTTTAGTGCTTCTGCAATGCCATTTCGGCCTTTTCCCAGACCATCTCCCTCCTGCCACCCAAGCTGCTTCAAATGTTCTCTTGCAAAGTCCATTTCAGCTGCAGAAGGAGAGCAAAACTGTCAAAAACATTGAATCAATCTGGAATATTTAGACTGTCAACCCAGGATCAACCACAGGCGCTATGATGCCCCCCCCCCCAATCTTGCATTGATAAGAAAAATAAGCAAAGCAATGAAAAACGTTTTGTTACGAGCGAGCGAGCGCAGCGAGCGAAGCGAGTCTTTTCAATATAACGGAAAAATATCAGTATGAGCGGCCCCGCCCGGCCTGTAACGCTTTTGAGAGGGTTATATCTCAGCAACCGCTGGACCGATTGGCCTGCGGTCTTTTTCCTGGGTAGCCCCATCCCTTCTACCCCGTAATTGACTACTTTTGATACATCTCAGTGACCGTCGTGGCACGTGCCACGTGAAAAGTCAAGGGTGTTCATTTTCAAGCTGTTTTGCAAAAGTAGTGATTTTGAGACGCCCATATCTCAGCAGCCGCTTGGGCGATTGTCTTGCGGTAGTTTTTGTAGGGTAGCTGCATCCCTTCTACCAAAGGTTGGAGACTCCCACTGCACGTGCAAAATGCAAAAAGAAAAGGTGCCAAATTTGTTCCCATTTCAATAGCTCGGTAATTACTGGGGCGATTTCGCTGAAACTGGGCATACAGGTAGGCACCCACCAGGCAATGCATTCCCATGTGTTGCGGTTAAGGTGCTACTGCACGTACGCACGTGCAGGGGGCGCTCCCAGATCTCGAGAACGGCTGGGCCGATTGCGCTCAAATTTGGTACAAGGTTGGGGACCAGTTAGTAGGGTGCCGTGCTTAAGTCAGTTTGGACCTCGTTTGCACGTGCGCACGTGCAGAATCCCGCTTCCAGATCTCAGGAACGGCTGGGCCGATTGCGTTCAAATTTGGCATACCGCTAGCTACCGGTTAGAAGGGTGCTTTGCGCAAGCCCGTTGGAAGTAGGTACCCTCTCTCGCCCTTGCGCACGTGCAGGGCTCACTATCTCGCTCGCTCGTTCTTCGCCCAAAAGGCGTTTTACTGGTGATTTTAAGTGGAAAACACTATCTTACACTACAGCTAAATTGAAAAGCACCACGCTTCACACCAAGGCAGTTTTACACCTTCACACGCCTTCACACCACCTCCACACGCACACAAACACAAGATCAAGGTATATAAAAACACTCACAAGATCAAGATTGGATCATCGATTAGAGATTATCCATGATTGGATCAAGATTGGATTGTCACATGCTCGTTCGCGTCATGGTTGTATAAGATGCGCCAGTATTTGTAAAAGTATTGTGGCGAATGCTACTACTAAAATATGTTTTGCATTTACTGCAGCTATGAAAGAGTCAAGCTTTTGTTTTTATTTCGACTTTTGTGATGAAACTGATATTTGTATCACAAGAATTCTATCCGAGTTTAAAGCGGACAAGGATCATTTGATGCAGAGTTTTGAAAAGCCCAGAAAACCCTGGATCATTCAATGAATCAGAACCATGCGTTTTTCGCCCAAAGTATACCTAAACCGGATGAACCTCAAATGATCAAAAAGAAATTATGAATGACTTGATTCATCGATTGATGTTGATGATGCCTTTCATCGCATTTAGATGGAATTCATTGTAATGCACATTATAACTGATCCTTGTTTATGAATGGACGAAACTTCTTGATGGAGATGTAAACAAACATGTCAATGACTGTGCTCATCCGCACTACCGACGCACTACCAACCGTTCTATTTTCTTTAAATTGTTTTGGGATTCTTCAAAACATATCAAAAGTTTGTTGCATATGTTTAAGTCAATAGTTTCTATTCTTACGATCGGAATTGCTATATCATTTGGAAATAGTTGAAACTATATTTATTCGAATGATTTTGGATAAGCTTGAGGCTCCAGAATACAATTATGGCACACGAATACACATACAATATACAAGCTTTTGTGCGTTGCGTGTGTTGAATTGGGATTAATTTGCGTCATAAGGGTTTCTTGGTCCATTGTGACTGAGTTAAGTTGTTCTAATTTAAACCGAAAAGCTTCCTTTACCGATTGCTTTCATCGAACTCTCGGCATAGCAATAATACCATCTCGATCTAGCACTCTGATTCGTAAACGTACGCCCACTTCAACACTGACATAATTTCCATAAATGCATTTTGGGTTTTGTTTATCTATGATGATAATAGTGATCCTCTTGCAGGACTGGTTGAAGTTGTGAGAAGAATAAATACTTAGATTTAAACTCCAGTCGGCCCTTAAAAGTATTAATCACGAAGAAGTCAAGGTAAGCGACGGCAGGTCAATGTCAATTTGTGTATATGAATGTCAGCACAGTGTAAGGGCTCCTTGATGATAGGGTTTGTTCCCGTCGCTCCTCTAACCTCCTCCAAGCTCCTCTAACCTCCTCTCGTTTCAAAAAATCGTTCCCGTCGCTCCTCCAAGCTCCTCCAAGCTCATCTTGATTTCACATCTCACCACCACTATTTGCCTCCTCCCTCATCCCAAACGAAAGTTGGTTTTTTGGAGGAGGCTCTTGCGTAGACATATTTGGCGCACGTAATACAAATGTGAATTGTTTATAAATGAGATTTGAGGGAAGTGGAAATGATTTTAGTGATTGATGACGATTGGATATCTTTAAATAGTAATGTTTGATATTAATCTAAGGTTATTTTATTAGAAAGCGATTGTTATCTCTTGATTTATGTTTGCGCGCCATAAATCGGCGACGGTTACAGCCCGCAAACAGCTGATTTCCTCGCGAAAATGTTCCCGTGGCTCCTCTGAAACGGCTCTCCTCCAAGCTCGTCCAACCTCATCCGAGATTTTTTGGGAGGAGCGACGGGAACAGACCCATTGTCATGGTTCCCATATGTCACTTGTGCAATTAATGGTCTCATCAGATTCTTAGTGCTCATTAAATGATTGATGTTTACCACTCATCTTGAAGTTGAGACTAAAGCTGATCATCAGGGCCCTGATCGGCGGCCGGCTAGTACTCTTGCCGGCGCTCACATACGTGCTGGTTGCCCCGGCAACGGGCTATTGACCAATGAGAAGCTAGGAAAGTGCAACGTTACTGCGATTTTTCATATACCTGTGCCCCCCTGTAGTGCGCTTCTCATTGGTCAATAGCCTGTTGCCGGGGCAACGTGCACGTATGCGTGCGCGGGCTAGCGCGCTAGCCGGCCGCCGAACAGCGCTCAGAATCATAGGTCAGGTAGGTGCCTAACTACCTACTGCACTAGTGGTTGGTAATTTTAGGACTAAAGAGAGCACTGCCCAAATTATAAATCTGAAAAAGCTGATCAATGCATGCATGTATACTACTTGTCTTGGTATTAGTAGAGCAGACTTCACACGAAGGTTTTCCAACCAAGGAGAGGTGCTTTGCCTGGAGGCATACTTCTTTCTAAAAAAAACCTAAACAAACCTAACCTAACCTGACCTCCCTACAACCTACAAACCTACAGCGCCTCTCCTTGGTTGGAAAACCTTTGTGCGACGTCTGCTCTACTAATGCCAAAGTCTTTTCAAACAGAGTAGTCAATTACAGGAACAGATGGAAGATCGCCAAGGGATGTAGCAGGGGCTTCATGTGCAACCATGTTTTTAGGCAAGCTAGACCAACACTGGGCTACGGCACCTGCTTTGATGCCATGATAACCTTATTTCCTAATTCCTAGCTCTATTATAGTAAAGTTGGATGACAAATCGATCCTTAAATCAGGAAATTTAAAGGTGCTTTGATATAATTGCTGCTGTTAGATTTGATGTTGTGATGATTATATGTTGTCTGCAGTAACACACATAATAATGTACAGGAATGTCAGCATTTCCTTTAGTTTTTCCTGATAGGCTTCATGTCTAGGGGATAGGAACTGCTTGTAAAATAGATACCTACTTATTCATTGAGTTATATTGGCCAGTTTCAGCAAAAAATCATCCCAGCAATCAAGCATGTCATATAGTTACCTACTTGAAAAATTTGGATTGAACTGTTATGTTTATCTGAACTGAGCATGTGTAGTTTTGAGGACATTAATGTGCCTAACTGGTTGTATTCTTCTTATTTTGTTGTATATATCATTTTTACCTTTTACAGTTATTGTATTAGCATAATCAAGACAATTATTGAACTGCATGCTTTCAGCTGTATTGTGTCTAATTCTAGTCTACCTATTTTGTTTAATGATGGTTTCTCAAATTTTGTTGTAGTTTGAAAACTACAGCTGATATTCTTTTGTGTGAGGAGCATGCTTCCTCACACCATCCTTTTTTGTGTTTTTCAGTGTCATTGGTTTCTGCTCTCTGTGTGTGGACTAACTGCAGCCACTAGGCGTGAGCGCATGCCCCGGGACAGGTGGTTGCGACCCTAACCTGGTTGTGGTGCTGGGCTGGCGTGCATCATGCATCGGAGGTGGGTGCTGAGGCAGGGGAGCTGTGTAACCGTGCTCCTCCCTGACAGCTCCTGCCTGGCTCAGTGGTGCTGTCCATTCAGGCCAGACCTGTGCAACATTGCAATTTGCTCTACAATTGATTGGCGCAAGTGTTACCTGTTACCATTCTTTTTAACAGCCAGGAGTTAACAAGTAACCATTCCACAGCTGTCCAGGCTGCCTGACTTGCTCATCTTCTCATTTATGCAGACACTCCACCCCAGTCTCCAAGCCCTGATGTTAGCAATATCCATATCAGTATTTGGTTAAGGCAAATAAACAACAATTGCCATCCTACCTTGTCTCTTGAGTTGTTCTTAGTTCTGATACAGATCCACATGTTGTCCAGGACATAATGTCTAAGCATGGGAGTGTCCTGACCTTAGTTGATTTTTGGCATACACTTTCACATATTCAATCCTTATGCAAAAATGCAAAAATATGTTATTGGGCATACATGGATGATGACGTTCATCGCCATTGAATTTGATCGGATATTATTATTCACTCGCAGTATTTCGGCATTATCTATGATAGCAGGTATGCATTGTTCAGCCTTGGAGCAGTGTCCGTTCCCGTTATGTCCAGCCGTGTGACCGTGTCCGTTGCCCGCCCCGCCCGTGTCTCCCCGTGCGCGTCGCGCAGGTCCTCGGGCGGCCGGCTGGCGCAGGAGTGGGTGGCGTCGCCGCGCTCCGCCGGAGAGCAGCAGCTGACCCACCAGCGCGACGTGATTGTGCACCGCGACAACACCGGCTACGGCTTTACCGTGTCCGGCGACACGCCCGTCTCCGTGCTCAGCGTCAAACTAGGTGAGTCAGATAGACAGGCAGCGTCAAACTAGGTGAGTCAGATAGACAGGCAGCGTCAAACTAGGTGAGTCAGATAGACAGGCAGCGTCAAACTAGGTGAGTCAGATAGACAGGCAGCGTCAAACTAGGTGAGTCAGATAGACAGGCAGCGTCAAACTAGGTGAGTCAGATAGACAGGCAGCGTCAAACTAGGTGAGTCGTGTAGCCCGTCTCCGTGGTCAGCGTCAAACCAGATGAGCATTAGAAGAACACAGCGTCAAACTAGGTAAGCATGAGAAGGTCTCAGCAACAAACTAGGTGGACATTAGAAGATCTCAGCGTCAAATTAGGTGAGCATTAGGTCTCAGCAGCAAATTAAGGTGAGCCATGCAACTCATTCCATGCTCAGCTCAACGTGAAACCAGGTGAGTCTTGCAGCCCGTCTCCGTGCTCAACGTCAAACTAGGTGAGTCCGTCTCCGAGCTCAACGTCAAACTAGGTGAGCATTAAAAGGGCTCAGGCTCAGCGTCAAACAAGGTGAGCGAGGCAGCCCCTCAGCATCAAACGGACGGAGAGGCAGGCAACGGCTTACCAGGTGAGCCCTACACCAGAGGGACCCTACTTGTCTGCTTTCTCGTAGACTGCAATGGACTTTGATTTTCCGTCATCGTCGTGCCTCTTTTCTGTGTCATTCCTTCTCTACTAGCCAATTAAAAGGACGATTTTGGTTATGGGGAGCACGCAACCATATCATCCAAATAATCCACCTTCGATCTTCCATCGTATTGGACGGACGAATCTTGTTTACTACCCATGGTGCGGATAGTGGCACCAACCTACCAGTCTGTCTACTTCGCTTATGCAGAAACCGTCATAGTCATGATCGTCAAGTGTCGGCCGGTCGTTTCCATTTGTGAAGGCTCTCGAGCTCGGTTTCAAGGCTGGCGGTGGGCGGTGGTCGTGGAGCCCGTGCGAACTTAACACCCGCCGTCTGACCGACTCAGCCGACTGAGCGGGGCGCGACGTAACGAGCTCTCTGCACTGTATGTGAAACTCAGAGTTCGTTGCCTTTTTCCACTGCTCGAGACTCGGGGCGTCGCCGGCGCGCGGCCGTAATTCGGTAGTATGTCAGGCTGAAAGCTTTGTCATGCAGCGGGCTGCCGTCATCCCAAACACCACGTCAGCAGGCGGAGGAGCTCGCGGTGACGCACGAGGCTCGTGTTCGCTCGGCGGAGGACAATACCTAGCATCCAGTCAGGGTCGCGCCCATGCACTCACCGGTCATAGAGTTCGATCGCTTCTCTGAAAACGAACAATAACACTGAAGCTAGCAGTTGCAGTTGAGACGTAATAGAATGTCAATATCAGACCCCTTTGACGCGGCTTACTAATGTTACCGGTTTATTCGTTCATCGATTACACCCAGTGGCCTCCGTTCGACGCTGGTCACTTATGCTGGGCGTGATACGTCGGTGACCGGCGCTGCCACTCACGGCGTCACGCAATGCGGTGGCTCGGCACTGGCAGGCGACGTTTTCGCTCGGTGATAAACACCAATGTTTTAGACGGCTGTCGCTCTCTGTCTGTCTGTTTGGAAGGCTCGCGAATATGTGCCGTTTGTTTCAGAGTATACAGGGTGTCCGGAAAGTCCTGGCGCTTCTTTTGGACGCCGTGTAACGCGCGCTGTGATTATTGGACATTCAGCCAATCATCACAGACATGACCCCTCGTTGATGCTCAGCCAGGGGTCGTGTAAATATGACCTTGAAATCGTTTTCAGTGATGGGTAGATGGGCGAAGATGCGCCTTGTCGCTGAATGCCTGCGCGCGGCGGCCGGGTGCGACTTGAACGAGGCGCGAGTTGCAGCACGATGCGGCGTTTTTCGATGAATGGTTTAGCAGGTAAAGGTTTATTTCGACTCGGGAATTCCTTAAAAAATATCCTCAGACCGTTTCGAACGCGATATGGGAACGGAGCAGCATTTCAGCGCGGCAATCGAAGAAAGTGCGGGGGTCTGATGGACAAAAATGTCCCATCATCTTCGTCAATGTCGAATAAATGAATAACAGGCTGGCCCACGAGGGGTTCCTGGACAGCCACATCAACCCGAGGGTCAAGACGACATGCCCTAAGGGTCACTTCGCATTTCAACAGCACAGAGCACCCTCCAACAACGCCGCCGCCATTCAAGCTAAACTGACAGAGGAGCTTGCCGGGCCAGATCACCGTGGCGAAATGAGATTAGGCCGCCTTATTCTCCTAACCTGACCCGCTCGACTAAGGCGTGCTACGCGTTTTGTAGAACAGGATCTAGGTCATTTCTCACCCCAACCTGGAGTCGCTGAAGACTCGCATCATGACAGCATGGGAGGACCTGGAAATGCCCCGCATCGTCAAAACCCGCAGACGCTTCCTCCCCTACGTCGAGGCCGTCGTCGGCGCCGACGGTGGTTACATTGAATGAGCACGTAGCGGAAGCATGTGGCTTGGTGTCCCTGGTCATTGTTTTGATCCATTGATTAGTATCTATGAACCAATGGCATTTGTTTTAGAAAATGTTGAAAAGCGCCAGAACTATCCGGACACCCTGTACACGGAGCTGGTCAGTCTGTATCGTCTCTGGGGAGTACATTATTGCTATCCACGATGTACGAACCCCTTTGCTTCCATCAGCAGCCCTGCAAGTTAGTGCCCCTTCTCGATTTCGGTGTCATGCTCGACCGTGCCAGCGAAGTTTGTTGTTTATTTGATATCGCTTTGCTTTTCCACCTCCTGTTTTACTTTTATTCGTTTTTTTTTTTACTGCTCTCTTTTAACCATTACCTTTTGTCTCGCTTTCCAGTTTTTTTTTCTCGGTCTCTTACTCTTGCTTTTTCATCATTTCCGTTCATATTATTTCCCATCTGTCTGTCTCTCTCGCCTCCCTCTCATCCTCTCCTGAGGAGCCGCTGCAGCCATGGCGGTGCACCTGTCCCGCTCGCTGCCGCCTCCGCCGCGCCGACCGGCCGGCTTATATGCTATGACACCCATTCGGTGGAGGGCGCCGGTCGTTAGGGTGGCTTTATGTTGGTCGCCGGGTGCGGCGGTGGCGCCACCGTTCAGGGCGACCCGTCCGCCTCCGCCGCCCGTGCCGCCGGCACCTGTGACAAGGCGGGACGCACCGCCGGCGGCCGGGCGTCGGTGTCGGTTTGGCGATGGAGACGGTGGCAGGGCGCGCGAGCTGCTCCCGACGCGGACTGTCGGCTGTCACTCATATGACCGGCATTACGGGAATTGGCACCGGTAATAGTCCGTATGGTGTGCATGGGTTATTTGAGCGCTGCTCCACGTGATCAAACAGTGCCAAGTTATGCATGTCTTTTATCAGCGCTTTTGCATAATGCATCGAGAGTGCCCATTTTTATAAATGGGCTTGAGCTGAAAATATCTCAGTTTTCGTTGTTTGTTGCACCAGTCTTATAATTTTCGGTCGAATTTCTCCACTGTACGACGCTCTCAACTGCACCGAGGGCGGCTCAGTGCCGCATTCTCTGCACTGGCCGTGGTCTGTTCGAACTGTGTGGCCATTATCGGGTGCTGGCATCCGGCCAAGCGGTCGGAGGTGGCGGGCGTTTCCAGCTGGGCAGTCCGGCCCGGCCCGTCGGTCCAGGGCTCCAGCGGAGGTAGTGGTCGGCGACCGCCGCTGACCACTGACCAGTCTGGTACGCTGTCCGGAGGTAGTTCTTGTGGCAAATTAACCGTGAATATCCACCCGAGTATGGGAATGGTGGCCTTTGTTGAATGTTGCGTGTTGGAAGGAGTGCCAGATTGTTGTGTCCTCTCTCAATGTTACCGTCGTGTTGGTTGTTGTGGTTAGGTTGCTGTCTCACAGCTTCACTGTTGTTATGCTTGGCTGATATCATTTTAGACGTAAGACCCCCGGAAGTTGTGTCCATCCGGTCGCTGGTCTGCTATCGTATGTTTTGTGGTTGGCTCGTCGCATGCTCGGACATGCACGAGTTTTGGGTTCAAGAGCGTTGAATGCAAATCAGTCTCCTTGAATCGTTTGTCCACCGGTTGTAGCGCAGGCAGACCATGAACTGGTGGATCTTCATGCTTGAACGATAATTCATGCTCATTTCCTGAAAGTAACCTATCTTGGGAATGGCGCAGTGCGCACCTTACGAAGCATCAGTTTATGGACACCGGTCCAAACCAGATTTCGGTGCCTTGTGACCGCCGTGCAGCGAATATTGATTCCGATCATTGATACTGCCGATTGACAGTCCGCTTTCAGCACTGCCGTTTTTTAATCGAATGCGCACTCATTGTCATGTCCTAATGCGTGAGTCGGCCGCTAGGGCTGTGCGTGTCTCGGCTACTGTCGCCGTTTTTTGCCCGTCCTGCAGTGGACACTGCGCACGGAGCCGCGCCGAGTTTCCTCCGCTACCGTGCTGTGTGTGTGAGTGCCGCGGTTCGGCCGGCCGGCGTGTGAGTCGGCGGCCCGTGCCGCTGCCGTGACTCAGCGCCTGGAGAGCGTGTCCGGTCGGCCGCCTCCGCTGGCCGGGCTCTGTTTACACGGCCCGGGGAGAGGCGCCCACGGCCGGCACGGCACCTACGCTCAGGGAGCACCCACTCCCAGCCCGACCCCGGTGAGAGGAACACACGGCCAGCACGGCCCTGGGGAGAGGCGCCTACGGCCGGAATGGTCCCGGTGGAAGGGCCCACGCCTGGTCCGACCCCAGGTGGGCGGGACATACGCCCGGGTCGGCATCAGCGGGACGAGCTTACGCTCGGAGAGCATCTACGGCCAACGATCGTCCCGGCCCTGGTGACAGACTCCGGCCGGCCCGGTGGGGGCACCTACAGCCGCGTCGGCCCCACTGGAACGCTCTTATGCTCGGTATGGACCGTGACACGCCGCATCGACTGTCGATGAAACACGGCTGCTCATTGCTCGATGTTTTGCTGTGGGGGTCGGGAGCGACTGCAGATGAGCTGGTGCCTTATTGCCCGTCACGGCTCTAGAGCTACCCTCAGCTCATGAAGACCTGCCGGGCTGCCCCCTCGCGGCACGAACGGGCCTCTGAGGAATCGGATAGCAGTGCGATTGAGTTAGCAAGGGAAGTCCCGCTGCCCCGGCCAGGAAACGCACGTGGTCGCTTTCCGTTGAGGAAGAGTTTGTGTTTCACTATCGTATGCCAACACGCCTATCGGGACTGGATTTGACGGTGCTATCTTGCATACAGTCCATGGCCTTGTAAGTTGTAACCTGTTGTATAAATGAGACAGGCTGCATATTGCGTCGCATTAGCTTGGCGTCTGCTCGAACAGAATCGTAGTCAAATATCAGAGATCTCTGAGCTGATACGCGGCTGATACCGATCACCCTTTCACTATCGTCTCCGCTGCGACCGGTGGACGGACCGCTGACTGTCAGTCAGCTGGTCAGCCTGCCGGCCCATCTCAGCCCCTCTGTGACCGGCAGACGGACGCCCGAGGCCGTCTATGCGACACATCCCTCTCAGCTCAGCGCCGTCGGCCGACAGTGCAAAGGCCATTCTCTCGTCAGTAGCTCTCGCAGTGTGTGCCGGAGGTTGCGAAATGCGTGCCCGCGCGGCCGGAGGCCAGCCCGCTGTGAGGAGAATCGGGGTGTGGGCTGGCGGGCGCCCACGGAGTTATATGCGGTGACGCGTGCTGCACTCTGGTTCACGGCGTGTAGAGATGTGGGAAACGACGAAGGAAAGTGCTGGCTGCGTATACCATTCGTTGCGCATGGGGTACCTGTCGATGAGAGAAAGAAGTACTGACGTGAGAGATAGCATAGGCACTAGGCAAGTTCCAGATGGAGCTAATTGATATAATGTTTGGTGCAGATCGGACGCTGGGTGGTGGCGATATCACTTCATTCAAGCTGGTGTGAGTCTACGAGCTAGCCGTCTCATACGCTTAGATAGCCGTCTGATCCGGAAGACGGTCCATGTTTTGTCCGATCTCTCTACCTAAAATGAGCCGGAGTGTGGTTGTGTTGGCCCAGCCCGTCCTTGGTCGACCACCAGAACCTGGCCGGTACAGACTGGTAAAGTATGCCGCGCCTTGTGTATTTGATGGATGGCTGTCAGCACTGTGAATGTGGGTAGAATGCTGAGCGGCTTTTTAACGCCAGCTCAATCCACCTACGAACTTAAATCCGGTTATTAACTAGATAATTAAACTCCCATATAGCTGTGTCCCGCCTTGCTACCGTTTGAGTTGTCATGTCTCTCCCCATGCCACGTGTGTTTCTTTCGTGCCAGCATCTGACCAAGCCGCCTTCTCTCCGTCAGATGGACCGGCGGCGCGCGCCGGTGTTCAGATGCTGGACATCATTGTCAAGGTGAACGGCAAGTCGGTCAACCAGCTCAACCACCAGCAGGTCGTCAGCTCCATCACCTGTGAGTGGACGCTGCCTCTGGCGGCGGGATCGGGACGATGGGAGCAGGACAGAAACAGAGGCGATGTCGTGGACGGGGTGGGGGGAGGGGGGGGGGGGCTACATGAAAACGTGAACCATGGAACAATGCTCGAAAAATGTCTAGTGGTACCTATTGACTTGACTTGGTTCATGGCTTTGTATTCATATTTCATACCTACTTATAGCAGGTACTTACGATGTTTTTTTTTATCCAGTAGTTTCTTTATTTGTATTCGTCCTACCTCATGCCATCTGTCCACAAGCTTTTTCATCGGCACCCCTTCTTTCCCTGAATGAAAGACCTCTGTACACAAAGTAAAAGTTGATACTTGATGGCAGGTGTAGGGGTTTCGTTTCGTTTCGTGTATTGTTGAGACCATCCACACCGTGGCTATTCAAGTCTCCCGTCAATGTCATACATGTTGTAAAAGCAAAGTGACGCTAAAATATCGACAAGTTGTACATACACATAATGCCACATTACACACGATAAAACATATACTGTGATAAAAACATGATAAGAAAAGTGGGATGAGCTAAGGGTTGAGGCAGGTGTAGGGGTTGATCAGCTACTGATAGTGATAATTGACCGTAAATTTACCTTATCGTGGGCGTCATATAACCTAATTATTGTTACGGCGCCTATCAATCCCAATCATCAACAAACCCAATCATCGCCCTTTGCATCGGTGCCTTGATGTCGCTTTTTTCTGTGTTTTCGATGTCGTATTCTATTTGATAACGTAGTGTGGTTTCGAATTCGTTAGACTCTGCCCGGTGCACTTCTTTCACAATGCTAATGAATGGGCGGTAACCTGGTATGACCAGACCCCAGCGGTGCCAACAATAACGATCGGATACTGGATAGATGCCAAGGTCAATCGGTCAAGCATGGAGCTCACTCCAGTTATTCACCTTCATTTTAAGATGATTCCTTTAAAGTCACTGAATGTATTCGTCATTCCACTGTATTATTGCTATTGGTTTGTGGTATTCATTGGTCCTTTTGGCTCACCCCTCCGTACGTTTTTGCCCGCGTATGGCAAACCACGACCCACCGGATACTGAGACGTGACCACCGCGTGGCCGTGAAGCGTCCGACCGATCGCATTTCGTGTGCTGAATCGGTCAGTCATCGACGAATGACAGCCGGCACGCAACACCGCTTGTCGGCCGTGCTTGCGTGACCTGTCATGGCAGAACGCTCCCACCGTCATAGAGCCAAACTACACCGCACGATTTACACCGTCGGACAGTGTAGGACCAGACACAACACGCCGCTCCGTGACTCAGACGTAGTTTTCCGTTATGGGACAGACAGAGCGTGGCACGAGTGTCTGTAGCGACAAGCAGCTAGCGTTCGTTGTATTGTTAACCAGCCCCAGCAGGATCTGCTGTGTATGTATCACTACAGTCGACTCTGCCTGCTGCTGCCACCTGTCGGCCGTCGCTGACACTACCCCACCAAGGACCGGTCGCCGGCGGGCCGGCTGATAGCGCGTATATGGACTGTGGCTCCGTGTCCAGGCCTGCTGACCGGGAGGCTATGAGCTGTGGCGGTCGGCGGCCAGTATATCGGCCGAGCTGTGTCGGTGAGCGCTGTGCCGGGCCGAGCGGCGGCCTGCGGTGCTCGGTGACAGTCCAGGTGACCGCGGTGCGTGCGGAAGAGGTGTGGCGGGCGGTGGGTGGCGAGTAGTGACTCGTCGGTGGTGCGGTGGAGGTGCTCAGTCCAGTGGCGAATGGAGTACTGAAGGACTAGCACAGTGACGAGTGAATTGCCGAGGAGAAACATGGACGGTGGCGAGCTAAGTGGTGAAGGAGAATCGCAGTTGCGAGTGGAGTGCTAAAGGAGAAACAGGAGAAAAGCAGTGGCGAGTGGAGTGTTGAAGGAAAAACAGGAGAAACGCGGTGGCGGGTGAAGTGTTGGAGGAACGCGTTCGCTGCGTAGAACCTGCTTGCGTTGGCTTAATGCGGGTGCTCGCACAGTGGCTATCTTATAGAGCTGTCGGCTCAGCTGAATCATAGTGTTAGTTATACCGAGGTACCCGCTACAGTGCGCACAGCCTGGGGTGTCTACCCCAGTGTTGAGAGTGGCGTGAACCTAGTGTTTGAAGACTAGCGTGGCTTAGTGGCGTCGTGTAAGTTACCCTTGTGAGACTGGTGCGTCGTGACAGCTTTAAGAGATGCCGCGAGCCAGTGTGAGCCACTATTACAAACGGCGCCGGCCCGTCCGAGGTGAGGACCCACATATGGTCTCCACTGGGAACACACACTGATGGTGACGCTCGCCTCCCTGTTGCGGCTCGTTTTTGAAGTCTGTATCACTCATGCAGATGATGTAACCGTGACACACCTGATTTACACCTTCCCTACCCTACATCACACTCGCCCTTTTACCACCCCTTACGGGGTCTGTCTTTACCTGTCATCTGTGTCACTGCGTCCTGTCTCGCCGCTGTGTTCCTGTATGACCACCACTGCCCATCTGACCTGTTATCTCTTCTTCCCGTTCACAGCCAGCTCGAGCGTGCTGCTAACTCTGGAGAGCTGCCGCAGCCCGCCCAGAATGCCGAACGGAGCTGCCAGCACGCCGCCGCAGCGGCCGCTGCCGCCCATCCCTAACCAGCAGCGAGAGATCACGGGGCCGCAGCCAGTGGATGTGAGTGGATGCAGGCCGGGTCCGACCGCTCCTACCGACCCCGCTCCGCCGCTACTGCACCCCGCTACACCCCGAGGGGTACCCCGCGGGCTACAGGGATAGAGAGGGGACCGGGGCACTGCTCGGACCCATGCTCGTAGTTTTGGTTGGGCTGGACGAGCAGCTGTACACTGACTCCCTTGCAGCTGACCCGGAGCCGATCGTATCTCAGGCTATTTCTCCGAAAGGCATCGCGCCAGGGATGAGCATGCTCCTTGCTAGTAGATATCTCATGAACATTGACAGCAGGGAGAGGCGGAGAGGGAAAGGTTACTGGGTCCTGGCAGGGTGCACGATGCTGAATGCTGCGGGTCATAGGGAATAGGGATCCCACTCAATAGTTCCCTCCTGCACGGGGTGCTTTTCGTTCGAAACCGAATAGCTCCGTCGGTTAGCTAATCCATGCCGCTAGATAGGATGGCTTGTCAGCTAGCTTTACCTCTTGGCCCGCCCGTGGAGCATCGCTCGCTTCCAGTGTTATCGGCCGCTGACTCCGCCGCCGGCGCCGGCCGCCCCCAGGCGGTGTCGCGGCGCCACTGGGCCTACAAGAAGTCGCACACCATCCAGCTCATGCTGGAGGAGGAGGAGCGGCATGTGGACTCCCTGCGCGCCCAGCTGGCAGCCGCCACCGGTCGGGCGGGCGACAGCGGCCGGCTGCGAACCGAGCTCAGCAACGCAGAGGCCTGCTGTCGGCTGCTGCGGCAGCAGCTCGATTCTCTGTCGGGCCCGCCGGCCGGCGAGCCAGCCGCAGCGGTAAGTACAGCTGTCGCCGGCACGATTACTGAGCTCTGCTGCATGCCGCCAGCCGCTCTGCCTCCCTCTCTGTTCGAGAGTCGCCCGGGACTGCTGGCTGTCCCGGCGGCGAGCCTCGGTTAACGCTGGTGTCGTGTTGTCTTTTTGATCCCGTTAATTAATATGATTTCTTTTATTTCGTTATTAACGGTTTCTTTGGACTGATGTTTGGCTAGTGGCCTGGATAGCTCCGGTGCTCCGCTCTGTGTGTTTCCTCTCGGACGGACTGGTGTGGCTGTCTGTCGCGGGACGCCGGCCAGCGGCTGCGACTGCCTGCATGTGGTCAGCGCCGCCGGGCCGTCTGCGCTCTGTTGCAGGCGTCCCCACTGACGGCGGCTGCTCGCTCCCCCACGGCCTCACTATCCCCCGCCGACACACCGCCGCCACTGCCGCAACGTAACCGGGCGCACACGACGGCCGGCGGCACGCCGCTGTCTGCGGCCGCCGCCGGCCGGCTGGACGTGCCGCCGGCGCTGCCGCCGCGCACCTACCGCACCGACACTGCCTCCTCGGCCGCTACCGGCGGCGCCACCGGGGACCTGCAGCGGTCCGCGTCCTCCGCCTCCGCGCAGAACAAGGTGAGATGAAAAGGAGGACGGTAGGGAGGGGTGGGTGAGCGCAGGGGATTTAGGGTAGCAGGCGAGACGTTCTGTCAAGAGACGTGACTAGGAGGTCCTAGGGGTAGGTCTGTGCCTAGGCCCTGGAGTAAGCTACGAGACGTTATGTCTGCTGGCCTACTACAGCAAAGACATAGGGATAGTAATTAAAGGGACTGTTGTCTATGGTAGGGGTTACTGGCCCAATCATCGGCCACCTCTTAAAATCAGGGTGATGTCACATGCTTTTCAAATAAAAAAGTTTCCGTGTATGAAATCAGACATGCATATTATGGAGGGACTTATAAGAAGCTGGAAGTAAACGCCCACCACTGAGCATCATTGCTGTCTATTCTGGGGAAAATTAGCATCGAGTGACCTTCTCTCGGCCTTCTTTCTGTGCATTCTATCGTGGTTTGCATAGGAAGGAGCGGCCAGAGCTGGCTCCGCTGGCCGGCCTCTCGTTCGCATCCCCACTTTGCCACACCCATTCCTGTGCATTATTTGTTCGTCTTGAAATGTGAGCAACAGATTTCGGTCGCGGCCAAGCCGGACTGTAATTGAAGCTCGTTTTTTTTTTTTGCATTATTGTGGTCACTAAGACCCGTGTAGGCGCGTTATCCAGAGATTAGATGCTGACTGAAAATGACCTTCCTGGCTTGCTTAGGATAAAGGTAAGACTGGGGATGGGCAGTAGAAATACTCTTAGTTTAGGTGGAAGGTGGTGGTTTATAGTGGTGGCAGGGAACATATAAACACAACTTCAGACATGTTCTTCAGCCAGGAACCAACCGGTTCTACAAAACTAAACTGCTTGCAGGACAGGACATACCGTTAAGTTGAATGACAGAATGCTGGTTTCACAGATAACATCGTAAGGATGAAAAACACCCTTTGCATGTGCTTTAACATTTTCTCACTTGTTTGAAGCTAAAGTTTTTTTTTTGTCTTTTTATGATATGTTTTGCGATGAGTTTTGTGCCTGACTACGGACTATGCTGTTTGCTGTTTGTGTTTGCTGTTTGTGTTTTATGCTTGATGTGTCGTTTTGCGTGTGGCCCATCCGCTACTGCCGGTTTGATTGCTCGGTGATTAATACAGTGTGCAGTGGCCGGTATGGCGGCTGTGTCAGCCCGGTATGTGGATCCGTCGTCGGCCCGCGGCCCGCTGCGGCCAAGTGTGTGTGTGTTTGGGTCTGGGCCGTGATCGATTTCTCTCCTATTGGGCGATGGGTTGGCACCAGGGGCAGACTGAGTCCCCACTATGGCGCCAAGGGCCAGACTGTGTCCCCCTCGCCGGCGCCAGGGGTGAGACTTGCCCGCCGACACCCCCTGCAACGTCCCTGGCACTGAAGAACAGTGATGTTTTTCCGGGAGCAAACTGTTTTAGTGCTGTCATGCAATCTTCGTGGACAATGCCCTGCGAGCTGCACAATTTTAATTTGGATACATATTTCCCATGGTCGTTGTTGCATCAGTAAATATTGAATGTCTTATGCTTGCCACATAACCTGAATTAAATGTGTTATCCCATTATTTAAGTGAGTGCGATGTTGAGATTGATAGGCTGCTCCATCAAATAGCTGACTCCTGACGCCGTAACAATTTCGTCGGGTGCCAACTCCGTCATAAAACTTCGCGATATTTGCAGCTCAATGCCGTGCTGGTCAGAAGACTGCCAAACCGCTCCACAAAGTTCCCGAGTCCCTAAGTGTTACAGGGAAACTGTAGCGGCAGTGAAGTGAGGCTCACAGCTTCCCATCCCTGGAATGGGCTCAGTGAATTGTTCGCTAGAGTTCGGGGCAGTGATGGCCCGGATGGGTGACCAGCCAGCCGCTGGCCGGTCGGTCGGTGGCTCTGGAGTCTCTCGGTCCGACCTCGACCGGCCGAGGCCTCTGTGTTGCGGTGGCGACCGTTACACATGAATTATGGACCCGATGTGCATGTTGTTCCGACTTGTGTAGCGGGTTGGAAGCGGGAGGTTTAAGTTGACACCACGTGATGGTGATCTTCGACCGGGCATTCAGCAAATCAGATGATGTCAACTACCCTTGTTCACTTCATGTGGGAGTTATGCTAGGCTTTACATTTAGCGAGACCAGTTTTAGACTCACACGCGCGTTTCCTTTGACCTGGAAAATGGGAAATTATACCTATTTCATGTCACGTCCCACTTTTGCCCATTTCTTTCGCCGGTGTCTACCCGCTCCCTGTTTTGTAGACATGCACATAATTGTTAGGATGCTTAAAAGCGCATGCAAAACAGGTTAGAAAGGCTCAGATGTCGCAGGTACCGCTTTTCATTGTATCGTTAACAATTGTATGAATGCTCGGAAAATTTCTTCCATAACGGTGTGACTTCTATTTATTATTTTGAGTGTAGCTTGCCGCCGACGGCTATTCTAGTTGGTTTTCTCATTCCTCCACGACATTGGCAGATATGGGTTGTCAGCTGGACGTTTCAAGGCTGCTTAGTGTGCTAAGAAGGTTGTTGAGCTACGAGCTGCGAATAGGAAGATTGAAACACGATATGTGATACGTTATTTGGTCACAAGGCATTCATGTAAGAACCAAGAATGCAGGGATCTGGCTCCTGTGATAGTTAAAAACATTGTGTCTCCACACAGCATATCATGACGCTGACGCTGACTGAAGCGCTCCTATTTCACCTTGTTTGAGAAGGAAGCTAAGGACACATACGAACTTGTTCATTTTATATCATGTCAAGAGTCACCAGATTTGTCTCAGAATCGACGGCTTATAAGTGACTGAGCAGCTGATTTGTTGCCCATTCTTTTCATATTATAAGCTCTGGGCTGGTTTGCGAATGTATCGCACGGACCATGACCGCCTGGATCAACATGCGAGTCAACGCCAACCCCCTGAAGTGCCGCAAACGGGATCAGCTCCGGAACACAAACGTCACTCAACGAGTTACTTACATACGAGTACGTGTCAGAGCTGCGGCCTCGACCCTGCACTGTGGCATATGACCTCACCTGCCGGTCCGGCAGTCGGCACTGCCTGGTGTATGACGTCACCGGCCGGTCCGAGGCGGCAGAAGAGCCGGACAGGTGACGTCACCTTCAGGGAGTGTTTGCAACTCTCGCTGGGTGCCGCTCTCCATCCCGAGGGCAGAGATGCGACGGGATATGAGCGACGCTTCCCTCGGAGACGTTGGAACTTAGTGGTGTGGTGGTGGCTTGTGGCTAACATTGCCGTGTGCAATAGTAATGGCAGCCTGAGCTCGACTTCAATAGCGCTGACCCCACGGCGTTTCGTCGGCCAGTTGCACGTGGTGCGAAGAGGGAGGGGCGCCGTCGACTGTCCGGCGGCGGCGGCGGTGGCGTCACTGACTCACAGCTCCGCCCCCGCCCCCGCCCCGGCGGGCCGCTCGGCGGCGGCGGCGGCGGCGGCGGTGGTCCGGCAGTGTGGACGAGAGAGGCCGCAGAGAGGGCGGCGTGTGTGAGCGGTGTGTGAGGTGTGAGAGGTGGTCCGCCGCCGTGTGTTTGACCCGCTAGGCGAGAGAGCGAGTGTCCAACGGGTGGCGTTTCGTAGTGTGTGGTGCTATAGTGGTGGGCGGTACAGCGAGGGAGCTGTCGGAACGACACAATGGATTTCGTGTCTCGACTATACCGGGTGAGGATGACCCGTCCATTCGCGACAGCCATGGATGCGACGCTGTGATGCATTAGAAACTTACCCGACTCGCGTCGTCCTTCTGGACGTGGTCCTATCAAAGAGCGTCTGTATTATTCCGGTCTTATTTCCCCGAACGAGTTCGAGATCCATTACTGTTTGTCCGAGTGAATTTGAAGATTTAACGGTCACCTAAACTCCGTTTATTTAACTGGCCCCCAGCGCTGATGTCAGTCACACGACTGTCCCTCAGTATCCAACGCCGTTTTGGTTGAGTCAGCCGGTTCTAACACTCCCGGCACCACGGGAGGAGACTGACCGTGTCATAGAGAGGAGAGAGCGCAGTGTTTACGTGTCCTCTGCAGTCGCCACCCGGCCGTGCAGTGTTTGAGACTCTCCTGTGAGGCGGTCCTACCCCGGCGGGGACCCTGCTGACCTCACGGGGCCGACCGCGGGGCTATCCGGTGTGGTTTTTATTTGTGCTGTTGCACCCAGCGGCTCCTTGGAAGAGGCTAACTGGCGTGCGATAGGCTAGCTGGCCTAGGCTACACATCATACCGACTGTCAGCGGTGGGATAATTGATGTGACTTGACTGCCTGTCTCAAATGAACGAATTGCGGTGTATTTGATGAGAACTTGGCATCGGCTGTCAAGCTGTACCCCTTTCCTGACATTCGCGTGTAATTTAATCCCCGGTTTCTGTGCTGAGCTGTAGCGGGTGTTGGAGCTCCGTGGTAGCTCCGTACCTTACTGGCAGTTCTGCACCCGACTATACCAAACTCCGGCAGCGTATTTCGAGCTGCGGTAACTCCCAGTTAACCCGGTTCGGTTCTGTGCTGAGCTGTGGCGGTCCTGTGCCGGGCTGTGGTAACTCTGTGCTAAGCCGTGGTAGCTCTATGTCGAGCTGTGGTAGCTCTGTGCCGGGCCCTTTTACGGCTATTTGCCGAACTGCCACGGTTCCCGGCGGACCCGGTTCTGCTCTATGCCGTGCTGTGATAGCTCTGTGCCGGGTTGCTGCGACTCTATGTCGAGCTGTTGCGGCTCTGCGGCTGCTCCCGGGGGCCTCGGATCGGATATGCCGTGCTATGGTAACTCTGTGCCGGGCTGCTGCGGCTCTATGCTGAGCTGCTCTCGACGGGCTCTTGTCGACTCTGTGCTCTTGTCGACTCTATGCCGCGGCTCCCGGTGGGCTCTGCGGCTGCTCCCGGCGGCTCGGGTCGGCCGGCCCTTGTTCGCCGGCGAGGATAAACAGCGGCGCAGTGTTTACCTGAGCGCTGTGTTCCGCCGACCGCACCTGACCTGACCCGCCGCGGGCAGTGTTACTATAGCGGACAGACCGACCGCACCTGACCTGACCCGCTGCAGGCAGAGTCTGTTATAGCGACTGACCTGATCCGCCGCGGGCAGTGTTTCTACAGCGTTAGGACCGACCACATTCGACCTAACCCGCTGCAGGCTGGCAAAGTGTGTTGCAGTAGTCCTTCACTCACCTGCCTATGTGCAGAACGGGCGGGGACTACGTGGTAAACTCTTTATGTACCACTTTGTGAGTTTGGAAACAATTGGTTTGTCTCCCCCCCCCCCCCCTCCCAATGGCGTCATGACATCACGTCATGAAAACCCTTAACGATTCCTCTCATCCGATTATGTCATGCCTCGCCTGTAAGTGACATGTGATATGTGTAATGTGATGACCGCCTCTGACTTGCGTCGACTGAACCTCCCGACTGTGCCCCGAACACTGCTCTAACCCTGTCCACGTCCCACAGAGCACATCGCCTGCACGCGCGGCCGTCTCACCGACCCACCAGCGCACAAAGTCGTCACCGGACCCCATCAGTCTGCGAGCGGCCATCGCCAAACGACGCGAGAGTGAGTACCGAATAACATTGCTGGCCAGTGTGTATGTGTGTCTGCGTGCGAGCAGCGGGTGTATATTTCAGCTGATCTACCTTCCACGATGAATGCTCACTTGATGACATATGTGGGGTGGGCAGTGAACACCTGAACGATCATCTGAAATCGCTTCAATTGCCGTGGTGGAGCTTTGCTTCATGAGACCACGTCAAGTGATTACAAGTGCAGTCTATTTTTATCTGTTTCTGGTATAGGACTAACCATAAATACCTGTAATAGCTATCGCCCTCAGTCTGGCACACACCTGTAGTACCGTATGGGCGTCTGTCCCAGACTGAGTGTGGGCGCTCTCCGGGTGCCATAAAGGCGGGTCGTATGACCGCCTATCGCCTGCCCATGACAGGGACCGATTAGGAGGGTGGCGCTATATTGAGCCCCCATATCCAGTGGCGGCCGAGTGTCTCAATGGGCTGGGGTCGCGCGGGGTGCCAGTAGGGGTATGAGGGTTTACAGGTGGTGAGGGATGATAGGATAATGAGCTTTGGGAAGGGATGTTGGACGTTAAATCCACGCTTTTTAGGCCGCTGTCGTAGTACGAGGGCGGCAGTTAATATCCTTTCGTATCGGGGTAGGGAGGGGGCTTACACCAAAATCAGTTGATCGTCGGAAGTTGATAATGATAGTGCCATAGTCGGTGATTGAGTTAATTGAGCTTTCGTGGAGTGCCATGATGAGGATGACGGCAAACTTTCGAGGCGTCTGAAGAACGAATTAGCGGATCGTCTTCCCCCGCAATATCCCGTTCCCAGTCGCCATCGCTTTGTATCAGTCCCCCCGGTCTAACCCGGTATCACGGCGCTGGAGGCCGCGGAAATCCCGTCCTTCACCCCCACACCACTGATGTGTCAGCGTTACCGGTATCCACCGCGGCGGTGGCACGTCCTCTGTTGACCTGCGCACGACGTGGCCGTCACTCAGCCGTCGCTCGCTGTTGACCTCATGGCCTGTCGCCCGGCCGTGCGTTCCGTCATCAGACGGACGGCGGCCCTGCTCGGCGCGAATCACGGTTTCCTGCCGCGATTCGGTCGAGGGCGAGGGCGAGCCGCGGGTGGAGCCGGAGATTACGGAGGCGTGGTTTCGCAATGTGCTAACTACCCGAGCGATTAGTGTCCGACACCACTGAGCCGACTGACGACCGCAGCGCGGAGATGGGCCAGGTGCCGGTCGCAAACGGCCGGTCTTCAGTCTGAAAAACCGCCGCCGCTGCCGCCGCCGGCTATTTGTTGATTCTGGTTCGGTTCTGTTTGACTAACGCTGCTCGAGTCGGTTTGGTTCGCTGCCGACCTGTCGACGAAATGAGGAGGAAATTATGTAACGAATGGTCGGCGCACTACGAGGCGGACTGTGGTGCGCTCTCAGTGGCTCGCATACCTGGCCCGCGCGGCTCCCGGCCATGAGAGCAGCTCTGTTCCCGTACCATCAGCTGGAAAAGCTACCTTCCCTACCATGCGGCCGGGCAGTGCCAAACTGGGAATTAACCTGGGCGGGGCGAGGTGCCACTCGCACTAAACATAAGAGGATCTAAGTGGACGCTAAATGCGTAAAAGCGGTGATAATTGTGTTGCAAGCTTTGGGAATGGGATGTGTAAATTGTGTAGCAACTGTAACCCATTTACCACCTCATCTGCGCGTCGGAACTCCGTGCAAAGTCCCGTTTCGTGCGACGACCGGAAGTCTCGACCTGTCCGCACGGTATGGATGAGTCACATGAACGATCCGCGGGCCCCGGTGCGGGAGCTATCTCCGTCTGTGTAACTGACGGGCCGCCGACACCGGTCATCCCGGGAGATTCCGGCGCCGGGGGTCTGCCGGTGTGTGGGCGGTGGTGCCTGGTGTCTGGTGATGGTGCCTGGTGCTTGTTCCGGTGCTGGTGTCTGGTGATGGCTGCTCGCAGCCACTGCGGCCCGGTCGGTCGGTCGGCCGGACGGCCACACGGGCGCCGCCGCCGCGCCCAGTTAAACAAACAGCGGCGCCGCGGTCCGCTCCCGGGAGCTGGGCGCGGCCCTAGCTTCGGCGCTAGGCTGGGCTGATCGCTGAGCGCTGGGCTGTGCTGGGTTGATCGCTGATTGCTGATTGCTGGGCTGGGTTGATCGCTGAGCTGTGTTGGGCTCTGTGGCGGCGTCGGTGCTTGGCTGCGCTGGGTGCTGGGCGCCGGGCTGAGCTGGGATATGCTGGGTGCTGGTAGAGGTGTCCTGAGCGCTGATCGCTGGGTTGTGCTGGGAGCTGAGCGCCATCTGCTGTGGTGATCGCTGGGCGCTGGGCTGAGCTGGGGTATGCCTGGTGCTGGGCGTGATCTTGCGGCGGCGCTGGAATGTGCTGGACTGATCGCCGGGCTGTGCTGATCGCTGGGTGCTGAAGTCAAAGACAGATGGTCGGTGCTGGTGGCGGGTCGTCAGCTCGTCACACAGTGACTGGGTGGCGACTGAGTTACGATAACAAACCGACGGCGGACTTCGATCGGAAGGGAGTGGTCAGTGCGCACTGAAAAACAACACTGGAATGGCCAGTTTTATTCCAGATGACTCGGATTTCAGTCTTAAACAGGCACCATATGAAAAATGCCGTGGAGATATTTCGGTATTCTTTCCACATATATTTTGCATATCGGCTGATAACTTCCAAAGGGATCAGCAGAAACATGCAATGCTTTGCTTAATCCTTCCTGTTCGAGAGGCATTCCTCCTGTTCTAGAGGTTCCTTCCCGTTACCCTGGCGGTCAGTCATGGGCTGTTTTCCTGCTCACCACTATCTATCACACTGCAGTGCTGTGTGGAGAATCAGACGGGGAACCGACCGACCGACTCTGCACGCCCGCTGCTCCGCTCCGGCGGGTACCGCTCGACAAGTCAGGGGGAGCGGCGGCAGATAGTCGCTCCGTGTTGTGGCTGAGCGGCACCGCGCGGAGCGGTGTCAGCGGTGTCCGCAGCAGTCAGCGGTGTAGTCTGTGGCGTGGTGTGGTCTGGGGAAGTTGGAAAGAGACGTGGTGGAGAGGTGGATAGATGGAACTGGTCCAGAGACGACCGTCTTATCGGCGATGTGAGTACAGAAACTGGATTTGGAAGGGTAGAGGGATGTTTATTTAGTCTCCAGTTGCAGTTTCGTGACATAACCGTGGTAGTACCACCCTTATCCCAGCCCATACTCTTCAGTAATTGCTCATGCTCCAATGTTATCGCCCTCAGGAAATTGCCCGGACCCTCGCAAACTATGTTTTCAGAGAACTGTATTTTCCAACCTGTGCAGTGTGTAGGATGAGCTATAAGGCAACTGGCGAGTGCCTACATACAGGGTGTCTCAAAAGTTCGTTCACACATTTCCCATGCCAATAAAGCATATAAGAACCGGCCAAAAGTATAAGGTTTTGATGTCTGTGTGTACACTAGACAAATATGCATGCTTTGACAACTGATTAAGAAGGTTGGAAACCAACCCCTTCGCTGTATCTCCAAAAATATTTGCCCATACCGATTTTTGTTGCTCCGTCAGCTGCCGGAGGCTGATAAAAGGTTACCAGCTTTCAAGCTCTTGCAGGGGAATCCCCTGCAGTTTCTGCGTCGGATTTAGTTTTGACTAGCTCCCCGGCAACATCTGATTTTCCCTGAAAGCCGACAGCTTGCATCGACACCATTCTTGAGTATTTTGTAGGCATTCTCTGGCGCTAACTCCTTCATGAATGACTGGCGCCGACATCCCAAGCGCCATTTTCCTTTTCAAAACGACCCCAGTCCTGAACAAACGGGAAGTGCCAGGAGTAAATTTTTCGCATCATATGGTAGCAGAATGTGTCGGACGTCTGTTCCTCAGACACATTGTGCAAATTTTGCAAATTCCAAGCGCTCGTCATTCCCCATGCCAAGACCTTCGCTCGGTTGCGGAATGTTTTCCTCGGGAGATGTTCTGCTTTGTAAACGGCCCAAACCTGTCCATCGTGTGGTTTTATCGGGATTTTGTGTTTAAAAGAAAATTATTCGCTGCAGATCTGCCTCTTGAAACTTCGTTAGATAAAATTTTACAATAACTGACACTTTTGGAGGGTCAGGTGTCCTTGGCATTGACGATTTTTGTGTTATTGTCACCAAAAATTAGCGTTATAGATATTTTAAACAATTTTAAATTATAATTTGTCTTTATTTTACGATGAACTGCACTTTTTGAAAATGGGTAACCTCTGTCTGTGACCTTCTTGCCAGTTTTCAATAGTTATGACCGCATTTTCAGCTGCTTTCCGGAACACGAGTCTGCTGTCGTGCGAGGGTTGTTCAAAAAGCCGTTAGTCTCGCATGGTTTCGTCCTTCAAAAATTTTAGCCACCGTTTTTATGAGATGATCATCATGTTGCACTCATCCTCGCCGACACTTAACCATGTGTCATTTCCGACTTAACCATTCCCATTACTCCCGAAATAGAGAGTTTCACAACATACCCGACTTTGCAACCTACATTTTCGTGCCTGACCCATGGTCAGAGGTGAACCCTTTTTGTGAGCTCATGAAGGGTCGAATGCACTTGAAAACAATGAGACTGCTTGAGGAAGGGTGTCACCAATGCCCATGCAAAATTTCGACTGTTAATTTCTTGTTGATTCAGAATTATTGACAAAAAAGCATGGCTGGTACCTGTGAACGAACTTTTGAGACACCCTGTACAGTTGTTTCGTTTATACCATTGCCAGCTGTACCGCAACCCGTTTCGTTTCCCTGCTTTGCGGCGACATGTTTTGTTGCGGGCGGGTTAGTCAGCCGGACATGCGCCCACGCCGTGCTGCTGTCACTGACCGGCCGCCTGTGGTGTCACCCCGCGCTGTGCCGGTCTACTCTGACCTATCGGTTGGTGACCCATCCACCCGTGCAACGGGCATCAGCCGTGGTGGTGGTCAGTCGTTCTGTGGAGGTATTGTGGTTTTCTGCACAGCTAAACAGCATAGGCGAGGCAAACATAAAAAACTAAGAACTTTG